CTCTTGCAAGAAAGTTTGATACTTGAACTTCGTTGAGTATATTAAAAAATTCTTCATAATAAATAAACTTTGAAAATTCAAAAATTTATCAATTGATCTGGTACTTGATTTTTCAAAATCAAAGTCAAATTATGCATTATAAAAAAGCGTCATAGAAGACCTATCTCTATGTCACAAACAAAAACTTAGAGTTGATATTTTTGAGCAATTCGATTAGTTGTAAACTTGATGTATGTGAATTTGATCTTCATATAGTGCAAGTCAAGAAGTCTTGTAAATATATCATATAAAGATATTTCTTACCAAAATTTAAACAAACCTTACAGGAAGCTAAAACAAAATGAAATGTCAAAAGAGTAAACATAAGAATTGTATGATTTGATTTATGTTTAGGTTTTACAATATCACACGTAGAGATAAAAGAGCTATTAGCGGGCCAAAATAGAAGATAATTGATTGTGCTAATGCCAATAAAAAAACGTATTGAAGTGAGATTTTAGAAGTGAAAGGTCCCATTAAGAACCTTCAAGTTACATGTGGCTCCAAAAGTTAAAAAATATTATGTCAACAAATTTATAGAAAGATGAGAAGAAATTCTAGTTTACAAACTGTTCTTATGTTTTTCAAAAATGGTAAAAGTCAAAAAATCATTGAATTGGGTAAATTGAAAAGAACATATACAAGAATTGAAATCTCCAACTACAAAGAATTTCATCTTTGCTTTGTAATTTGAGTACATCCCAATGTATCAATGGAATGATTGACTATGATTGCAAGTTCATGTTTAGTAGATAGACTTGGACAATAATGTAAAATAACAAACTGCCTAGATAAACATAAGATTTGTCAATCAAACCAAAAATTAGTGAATGATTTTGTATCTCGAAATCTTGATATTCTAAATGTATGAAAGTTAGAATTTAAAAACTGATGAAAGTAGCAATACTGCCATAGTTCTTTCTGCTGGTTGAATTCTTTGTTTCCAAGTCAATTTCATCAAAATAATTCCTTGCATTTCTGCAACAATATTGTTCTTGTGTGTACAAATCTACACAATGTTGATGATGTATGACATCTCTCAAATTGAAAAACAATTAACAAATTTTATTTTTTAAATATTTTGTATATTTCATATTATCATTCTTAGCTTCTTGGATTATTAGGCTGATGATTGTACTTTTTTTTTGAATAAAAATTGCTTGATCATCACATAGATAAGCAATAAAACAGGCTCCTTGTATTCTTTAATCTTTGCAAGCTTTTTTTTCTTGCTTTGACTTATAGAGATGTAAGATCAACATACATCCATATTTTTCATACTTTGAGAATGGCCTTGTTAGCCATGACATCATGTTATCATACTTTAATGAACATCGGTACAATATAATCTACTAGTCATAAATGATAGAAATGATGATAGAAAGATCATTCAAAGACTCACATATATCATTTGCTAATCTTTTGAATTGAATCATCAGATTTGATTTAGATAATAAGCAAGATACTTCTTCACAATGTGAAGAAGTATAACCTCTAGCTAGTGCGAAGAGCACTAGACAATGAATAATGACATATTCAATATGATAAGCTAAATCATAAGACACTAGTTGTAATAAAGAATGAGAATTCTACACATCAATTTTATGAATTGTCTGATATTTTCATGTCTCGGAAATGTAATAAACACATGCTCTTCATACTCAATATTTTTCCGTCACATAGCTTACAAATTTGTTCACTCCTATCAATATTTGTAAATTTGAAGCTTTCTTTTCTAAAGCCCATTTTTTTGCTGCTTGCTATTACTATGAAATTAGGAAAAAATCATTGTACGAATCTCAATTCAAAACCTATGAGACCCTACACTAAGTCCTGCGATAATATGATCTAAAAAGCTAATTGAACTAAATTCATCTTTGGAGCATATTGGTCTGACAATTATCTTAAAAATAAAATAAAGTTACATTTGTCTAACTATACTTACACAATCTGTTATTTATAAGAAAGTTGATCAAAATTCTTAGAATCACATACTTTTAAGTTTTCAATAAATGAATGTAGTTTCACTTAAGTGAACCATGTATTTCTTTTGTCGACTATGTGTTTTTTATTAGTGTTGTGAAAATTTGCATTGTATCATCAAGTAGTTGCACATGTTTTATAATATTGATTTTGATAAAATTTGAGCATTAATGTACTGAATGATGTTATTTGTTTTAGAATTATCTATTAACATCTCTTATAACATCATCAAGATTTAGATCATATGATAAGCTTGTGATATATTGCTTTTAAGTCTTATGCACACAATTTGAAGTTAATAATTTGAAGTAATATTTGTTAACTTGATTTCTATTAAATTATTATGATAATATATAAATTTTTTATTTATAACTTTATATATTATTTATATAACTTTATTTATGATTATATAACTTTATATATTATTGATTGAATTATTTTGAACTCAATTATTATCTCATTTTTTAACTTATTCAATAAATATTTATATTTTGTTATTTTTGACAATTCGTAAAATTTTCATTTAAAATTCATCACATGAATTGCTTTTAATTTCTTTTCACTTTTTTCATATCAAAATTTAAATTTATTATGATTGCAGATATTAAAAACGTAATATGAAGCAATTAAATTCTTAAAAATTGGTCTAGATTCACGTGTAATTATTTTTTGCAAAACTGTAAGCTCAGAACATAATAATTAATCTGTGTAAAGAAATAATCATATCAAATAATCATAAAATCAGTATTAAAAATGGATAAATTATTTATTATTCAGAAAATATCAAATAAATTTATCGTCTTTAAAAAATTAACTCATTATTTTTTCCTATAATAGAAAGACATGAAAAGTATTTTTAATGATTTATTGATATTTCAAATTTTCAAATAATAATTTCTTCATTATTATGATATAGAAAATTCAACTTAAAGTTTAAAAATAGTTAAGAAATTAAATTTTAGAAAATAGAAAAAATAAATATTATTATTAGAATAATATATATGCATCAATAAAATTTATGCATATATATTATTTATATATATTTCTTAAATCCATCAAATATTGATTAAAAGTTTTGAATATAATTATGTTTGATGAAATTCAACCAATGAAATAATTTAAAGTAAAATTGGAATTGATACAATTGAATATTTATGGAAATTATCTGAATTTTATGAAATCAAAAGTTTTGAAATTGTTATTGTAAAATTTATCTGAATTTTTTTATATTTAACATGTTTTGAATAAGATTTTCTTATTTAACAAGAGTAATCAGTATTTTGATATAAATTAGATATTTTTTTGATACAAGTCATATTTTCGAATCTTATAAATTTTCAACAAAATAAAAAAACTGGATTTAGTCATAATATACGAATTATCCAAAATATAAAAAGAGAAGTTTAAAGTTTTTTATATTTTGTATTTGATATTATAATTTAGCAAGTCTTAACTACAGATTATTTTTTATTCTAAATCAAATATCAAATGACCCAACATTGAAAATTTTGCATTGCTGCGATTCTTTGGAGTACTACAATACTTACTAAAATGCATGCTTATCTTAATAGACATACAAATATTGTATTGTTTTTCTGCCTTCAAGGTGTTGTCATCATTTTAACTTAGATTAAGAACATCATAATATATCTTTATCTTAAGTATTTTTCATAAATGCCATAAATTTATCATAAATTTAACTATTTAGAAAAATTATAATTTTTGAAAGAAATAAAGCATCATTAGCATACATTTTAGGTTGACGTCTTCAAATTTTTTATAATTGTTTGATAAAATATTTTTCTTTCGTATAAATTATATGATCATTTTGAAGTAATTTAATATCTATATATATTTCCAAAGATTTTTTCTTGAATCTAATTTTTTTAATGTTAATTGTTAAAATGAATGTTTTCTTTTACAAGCGACATGTTTGATTAGAATAAAACAGAAATGTTTCAAGTGATCGATATTGCTAACATTTCAAAAAAAGATTCAAGAAATTGGAGTTCGAAATTGATAAGTATTGAAATGAGTTGTGAGTATTAAAATAAACTAAAATTGATACATTTTGAGTATAAAAAATGTATTCTGCCACAGAATGTTACTACTTCTACAAATGATTTTTTGAGTGATCAAGTTCATAGAAGTTACATCGAAATTTTATGTGTATATTTTGGGTCTACCATTTAATAACATTGTAGACTACAATACTTATCACCTTGTGTACTTTTTCTTTTCATGAATGTTACGCCGTAATCTTCCACTCAGTTCAAAAGTCAATATTGTTACGGCATTTAAGATCTATCATGAAACATAGAAAAGAGTACAAAGCAGTGAACTCTATTTATACAATACATGGTTATATATTACTGTGATGTTTGATGCACTCAAAATTAGTATGTAAAATTTACTCGAGTATAAATTCTAGTTGTGTATATACCAAATTCAACGGTAGATTTTCAAATTGCATCACAAGAAAATGAAGAGTTTACCATAGATCTCCTATCTGCAGTGAATGTGGTTCACTTTGGTCGTTGTGAATATGATTACAATCTGCAAGAATTTCGCTCCACATTGTTTCATTTTAGGAATTATATCACATTCGTACAAGATTTGTGTTAATCACTTTAATGATCACAGCCATAGTACTTTGTTCGCATCTCGAATCTCCAGACATCTCCCATAGACTGCGAGGCACCAGTCTGCATTTGATTTTGACATCTATTTTTCTACACTTGGAAGTAATCGCAGGAATGAATTTATGACGGCTACGATTTACGGTATATCATCGGCAGGTGCACCTTGATGACCGTCTAGATGTGGCATGATTCCTGCTCTGCTCGACGCCCTAACATGAGAGGAATGGGAAACATGGAGCTGAGGGTGGAATAGGATATTGTCGGGAAAGGGAGGGGTCAAATGTATGGGAAAGTACAGTAATACCTCGTCTTCAGTCTTCAGTCAGAGGGAAAAGGGAAAAGGGCCAGGCGAAGGTAAGAGCAAGGCAAAGCTCCGTGTATGGGCTTGTGGGTTCGTTTGGTGGTCGATTGGGGTTGAGGTTGGTTGAGATTGCGTGCTGACGCTGTCAGGACAACGACAGGGGCTGGAAACAGTCGGGTCGGACGGACAAATTTTCGTGGTTTGTCCATGATAATTGATGGCGAGTAGATTTATATAGTCTGTCTACCCGGTTCATAGCACGAGTTTGCAGAGCTCAGCTCTCTCGCTGCTCGCTCCCTCCGCTGCGCATGGAACGAGCTCACACTTATTGCATTGTGTAGTCTCCTTCTGCACGAGCGTCAGGGACAACAAGTGGAATTTAGATTGCAGGCTGGCCAAGTGAGGCAAGGCAAGGCGCGTAGCTAGACGAGGGAGGAGCCGCGTCAAGAGGAGGGGAGACGCTGGGCGGGACAGGGCAAGGAAGGAGTTGATCGAAGGAAACGGAAGAGCAGAGGAGGAGGAGGAGGAAGAGGAAGAGGAAGTTCGGAGGCGAGCGAAGGATGACAGGAAGTGTCTAGAGGCCATTCGGGAGGCCGACGAAGAGGAGTATCACAGGTGGGTGTATGAGGTGTTGTTGTTCTGGAATTAGGTTAGGGCTATCGAGAAGGGGAGCGAAGGGGACACATTGTGAGGAGAGAGAATCAATCCCGCGGGACGGAGGAGTTCATGAGCAACCGGGAGAATAGCGGGAGGGAGAGGAGAAAACCGGATCTGTTAGGCGAGGAGTGTGTATCGACAGCATCATAGACACCTCAGAAGTGGTGTAATTGTGAGACCACGGGGCGTTGGATCGCATTCTGACTGGCCTACCCTTGATACCTTGCCTGATCCTTCGTCCTACACTCTGCCTGTACCCACCCATCCAGGAGCTAGTCGGTCAAGATGAGTCAGCCGAAGAAGAAAAACTTTAAGATTGAGCCGTTCAAGCACAAGGTGGAGATGGATCCTAAGTATGCCGAAAAGACCTGGAAAATTTTGGAGGACGCAATACATGAAATTTACAACCACAATGCTAGCGGCTTGAGTTTTGAGGAACTCTACAGGTTTGTTCGAATTCCTTCACGAATTATCCTTTTTATTCCTGTGGCGTCATTCTTCAATTCCATGCTTCTGTTTTCGGAATCTTACTTTGCCCTAAGTTGTGAATCCTCCACTGTCCAATTTGTCTCTTACGTTCCTCTGTTACACGTTGATCGTCGAGAATCGTGCTGTTCCGTGGCTCACCTCTTTGTTTTCGGCGCTGCTTATGGATCGCGTCTGTCGATAATTACGATCAGTCATATTGGAATCATCTCACTTTTCCTCCAAGTTTCTTTAAATGTAAAGAGTTTTCTGCAATACCTGTCTTCGATCAAGATATTGTTGGGTTTATGGCGCAGTGGTTGTCACCATTTTCAAACACCCGGTTCCGTGTCCTTGGTTGCGTCTTCCTTCCTTATTTGTAGCGTTTACTTACGCCTCACCGCATTGCAGTTTTGGATGGTTGCCCTGTCCGATCAGTTCATGTCCTACCAACGCGAATCAATTTACAGATGTTTAGTTCTGGAGTTTGGTTATTTCTTGTGTTCTACTCCACTGTCCTCCCGTACTGCAACTCTGGACTTTTTGAGATCAGATAGGGTTTAGGGACTTCCTTCTTTACTGCACTGATTTAAGTCGAGGATTTTCTTTCACTGGGTCGACTTGAGCTCGCAATTATGATTCCTCCTCAAAGTCACAAATTTGGAACGTTCATGTTTTAGTAGTTTCAGGATATATGTTGTTTTGCGTTCATGTGTGCAGAAACGCGTACAACATGGTACTTCACAAGTATGGCGAGAAACTTTATTCTGGACTCGTCAACACGATGACTCAGCACCTGCGGGAAATCGCCAAGTCAGTGGAATCTGCTCAGGGAGGCCTTTTCCTTGAAGAGCTAAATAGCAAATGGCTGGAACACAACAAGTCGTTGCAGATGATCCGAGACATCTTGATGTACATGGACAGAACTTATGTGACGAATTTTAATAAGACTCCTGTTCATGAACTTGGGCTGAACCTTTGGCGCGATAACATTGTTAGATCGTCTAAGATCAGGGACCGATTGCTGGATACACTTCTTGACCTTGTACATAGGGAGCGAACTGGGGAGGTCATAAACCGAGGATTGATGCGCAACATCACCAAGATGTTGATGGATTTAGGGCCGACAGTTTATCAGGAAGAGTTTGAGAGGCCTTTTCTTGAGGCTGCTGCAGACTTTTACAGGCTGGAATCACAGCAATTCATTGAGACCAGTGACTGCGCAGACTATTTGAAGAAGGCCGAGAGGAGGCTGAATGAGGAGATAGAGAGAGTCACTCATTATCTCGATCCCAGAAGCGAGATAAAGATAACGGCTGTGGTAGAGAAGGAGATGATTGGGAATCACATGAAGCTGCTAGTCGAGATGGAGAATTCTGGGCTAGTGTCCATGCTCATCGATGACAAGTACGATGATTTGGCTCGAATGTACAACCTTTTCCGCCGGGTTACCACGGGTCTGCAAACCGTCCGCGAGGTGATGATTCATCATCTTCGAGAAACCGGCAGACAGCTTGTGATGGATCCTGAGAGGTTGAAGGACCCGGTTGAATTTGTGCAAAGGCTCCTGGACGAGAAGGATAAGTATGATAAGATCATACATCTATCCTTCAGTAATGACAAGACGTTTCAGAATGCCTTGAATTCAGCCTTTGAATTCTTCATAAATCTCAATGTAAGGTCACCAGAATTCATCTCCCTGTTCGTGGACGACAAGCTGCGGAAGGGTTTGAAAGGAGTAAGCGAGGAGGATGTCGAGACTGTACTGGACAAGGTCATGATGCTATTCAGGTATCTGCAGGAGAAGGATGTGTTTGAGAAATACTACAAGCAGCACCTAGCAAAGCGTTTGCTTTCAGGGAGAACCGTGTCAGATGATGCAGAGAGGAGTTTGATAGTCAAACTGAAGACCGAGTGTGGCTACCAGTTTACCTCGAAGTTGGAAGGAATGTTCACTGACATGAAGACATCTAGAGATACCATGCAGGGTTTCAACGCAATGCTCGCAAACACTGGCGAAAGCAGTGAGACGCGAGCCACAGCTGAAGGGCCGACTCTTGCAGTGCAAGTCCTGACAACCGGTTCGTGGCCAACCCAGTCTGGGGCGAGATGTAACTTGCCAACAGAAATCCTGACCATGTGCGATAAGTTCAAAGCCTACTACCTGTCTACTCACACCGGGCGTCGCTTGACCTGGCAGACCAACATGGGGACTGCAGACCTCAAAGCCACGTTCGGAAGCACCAATAAGCATGAGCTCAATGTCTCGACGTATCAAATGTGTGTTCTCCTCTTGTTTAACATGGCAGACAAGTTGAACTATCGAGAAATTGAGCAAGCGACAGATATACCTTCGCAGGATTTGAAACGAAATCTGCAATCATTAGCTTGTGTGAAAGGGAAGAACGTCTTGAGGAAGGAGCCGATGAGTAAGGATATCAGTGAGGACGATGTGTTTATTTTCAACGACAAGTTTCAGAGTAAGTTCTACAAAGTCAAGATCAGTACGGTTGTGGCTCAAAAGGAGAGTGAACCTGAAAAGCAGGAGACGCGGCAAAAAGTCGAAGAAGATAGGAAGCCACAGATTGAGGCAGCGATTGTAAGAATTATGAAGTCCAGGCGTGTGCTGGACCACAACAATATTATCAGCGAGGTGACGAAGCAGCTGCAGGCTAGATTTCTGCCGAATCCTGCAGTCATTAAGAAGCGTATTGAGTCACTTATTGAGCGTGAGTTCCTTGAGAGGGATCGAATCGACAGGAAGCTCTACCGGTATCTTGCCTAATTGTACCCCCTTGTTCAATAGTGCCAAGACTTCTTGGTGTTAGATGGTGGAGCATCAAAGCTGGGCAGCTTTTCAGGGTCTTGTGGTTCCATGAGCCAGTCAGAGGGCCTTTGACCAACAGCTGTGGAGGCAGTAAGCGAAGGGCTAGTGACGGATTGCCGGAGCTGCTCCGTAGCAAAATCACATGGTCACCCCAGGTCTCCTCAGACAGTCAGCTACGTGTAAGCGTGCTTGGCTAGAGCAGAAAATAATGGACAGCAAGCGACGGTCGATATCCAAAGTTGCTTCACATGCAGATGTTTGGTTTCACGTCTCGAAAGCTGCTGTAGCTTTCTCAGGTGGAACTATCATTGTCTGCCCTGGCATTGGTGTCCTGCATTGTGGAGGTTAGAGCAAGTCATGCTGTGCAGTGTTTATAAGTAAATTTCTGAAGTGACATTAAAAGTACAGCCTCCTGGGAAAATTGTCTCAAGTTGCAGGTATGCAGTGAGAGCTTTGGAAGTCTTTCTCTTGTAATTTACATCCTGGTCTCTCCAGTTCGAGACAGTAGTGTATCCTAGCCAAAATTCTTAGTGTACTCAACATCCGCTGTGACCCCTTGTACACTATTTGGACACAGCTTTTGGGCCCACCAATTTGTGTCCCAGTGGACTTTTGATGTGTCTGAGAAATGGGCAGCCATAGCTTTGCATCTTGGCATCCATCTCGAACATGACTCCCGCACTCATCTGCACGGGTTAGTCAAAGTAATCAGAGAAGTATTTTTCTCGATCGTTAGCGACTTTGTTTTTTAAAGAACCTGTTTCTTGAAGAAAGCTACGGAGGATTTTTATGAACTCCCGTGAGTTTGAGAGTCAAGAGAAACATTGGGCTAGAGGATCTAACTCTGCCAGATTACCTGAGGTGTATCATCAACACCAGATGTTGCAAGAATCGGCCCCTGATTGTTAGGTCTCCTCAAGAGTGTGGTGTTTGCGAACTGCCTATCCAGCTTGGAAAGATTGAACTGTGTGTGTTATCTCGGCTGTTAGATTGGTGCCTGATTATTCCCGCATTTTGTTGGCCTCTGGTGGCTGCACGCCCCCAAAGTTCACCTTCACAATGAGTCTACTCACTATGTGCTCCCAGGTAGTAACGGAGAGATTTCAGCAACTCGAAACCCGAAAGTTTTGAATGTTTGCTCACGGAATAGAAATCTGTATGTTGGAGCGAGGTTGACTCATCGTGGTCATAGCCAAGTTGCTACTGTTTACGTCGTGTAAGCTTAGCAAAAGTTAACTCCGCGAAGGTGAAAATATGGCCATGGGAGTTCTATTCTATAATATGAGCAGTCACTCTGATCCCTGACTGTCGACTTCGTCAACCCGATCAGAGAACAAGTCTACTACATCCGTCAAACAATATTCTTAGGGCATTGCACGTTCATTTAGAACCCCTTGTTGCCGTACATTTTGCCTGTCTAAAGGGATCGGGAGTTGCGACGTGCTTATGCCATTATCTTCCTGTAATAGATCACCACAATCCTTGCGGCCGAAAACTCTTGAGGTCTTCTCCATGCGCAGAGCGCAATCGAAAGGACGGATGACATTTTGCTTCACGATAGGCAACAGAATAGAACAAAAATTATGATGCCAGTGGAGATGTCATCTTCCACATGAAGAGACACTGATCAATTCTGCTCCTCATAATGCAAAAAATAAATTATGGTTGTACTCACCCTTTGGCGACTACATCAATGCTAATATAGTATGCTTCCCCTATTTACATATCTGAATAGGGTGTTATCGTATTCATCAAAGACACCATAGTGTGTCTTTGGCATCCACACCCCACTATCATATCCGAGAAATCTAAGCTTTCGCTAATTTACACCATTCATACCCCACTATCATGTCCGAGATATCTAAGGTTTCGTCAACTTACACCAAGACCACATCTTTATATTGTCCATACTCAGTACTCATTCATTACCCTTGGTTTTTTGCCAAAATATTTTAATCCTATTTCTAGTGTTCGAAGAGTAAAAAGATCAGCCTCTCTATTCTTGAGAAATCTGCTAGATTTTGAGGAGAAGTTATCTTGTTAAAAAAGTTTGAAGTTGGCTTGGTTAGTGGTAAGTTTACAAACGTGTAATGATTTTTGACCTCTTATGGAGCATATACTAGCTGCACTTGCAAAATGGAAGGAGTAGGATGCTAGAACTCAATGCAGAGCACAACAAAGAAAACCAGGATTTTTGTTAAAAAAAAATGTAGACTATGTGCAAAGGGGACTTCACGTCTCTGGAGAACTCAAATATATTGTACACTCGAACGGAGAGAGTTGTTTGAGATGTACTGGTAGTCAAACTGAGTGGACAAGCTGACTGCTCTGTAGGTGAATCTTAAATCCTAAACACTAGTGTGTAACAAAGATGATGCAATGTTGACGCACAATGTCATGGAATGCTTGGAAGCACAATTATCTGATATTTAAGTACTCAGAGTTGCGTAAAACTGCATGTTTTTGCCCCGTTGTAGACTTATCACTTGAAGTGATAAGTTTTTAAAGCTTTTTTCTTGGAAAAGAGTAAATTATGTTGGTATTCTTATCTTAGGTCTTCACCCGGAGTTGTCTTGCCATGCGTGACATTTGAAAGTGTTTCTTAGTAAGAAACTAGCAGTCGCTTCAATGAGCCTTAATTAACTTTTATGATGACACTAAATTAAGTTGATGAGACAAAGTCAAGTTTATATTGTTGACCAATATACGCATGGCTGATCATGTTTGATAAAGAAATCATCTTGAAGTTACATGATCTTGTAATTACTAATGATAGAAATGATTTCAAGTATACTAATAATTACATGGAAAAAATTATGTTGTCAAATATTTAATCACACTTCTTTCAGAGATTTCCTTTAATATAAAAAGGGTGGATTCAAATTCCTTTTTTTGTCTTGTCATGTTTTTATGATATATGTAAATGTTGTGCTATTATGAATTTGAGTTTCAAAGTAGCCAAGAAGAAAGTAAAAAAACTGAATATTGATATAGTCCATATTTTTTTGTGCATATTCATTCTTAGTTTGTTGATTGTTTTATTGCAATAGGTAAACATATAATTAATATGTGTCACATTGTTTGAATTTTTTGTATTGAAAATCTTCATAGTAAACTATAGTTATAATTTATAGTCTTTTGTCACCGAATTTTCCTCAAAATTTTGATATTTTATATGAAATTTTAATTAGTTTCACTGAAATATAGAATTTTTCGCCTTTATTGTTTTAATATAAAATTTTATATAAATTTTTTGAAAATACATGTTGAATTTGAATAAATGGTGCAATCATTAGAATTAATCACTTCTAATAATGTTAACACAAATCTCTTGCATAGATTGTACCATATATTGTATACGTATTTATTTTTTTTATTTTAATATTTTTATTAATTTATTTTGATATTTTTAAACATCTATGTTGAGAAAAAAACTGATTCATTTTTCTTGCAAAATTATTTTGTAATAAATCCATTTTATATAAAAATTCATTAGCGATGTTACAAATGTTCAATTTTATTTTAAAAGTTTAAATTTTTTTTTAAAAATCTACTGTTATCATATGTATTATATATATGTATTATAATTTGAGCTTGTGTAATAGAATGTTACATGGTAAATGGTATATAGAGTTTAGGCTATGAATCTTCATGCCAATTTGATAAGAGAAAGCTATGATTAAATCAAATAGATTTTATTTATTAGATTTTTTTGTTTGCTTGAAATTTTGAATATGATAGCTTTTGAAAAATTTTGAAAAATCAATATCCTTTTTCAAATTTTTTTAAATAAATATTCATTTTTTTATTATTCAAAAAATATTTTTTTAAAAATATGAAACTTTTATAATTTTATGTATTTGATGTGTACTGAACTTGATATTTGCTCAAAATGTTAGCAAGTTGAACAATATACAGTAGTCTCCTCGTTAGATACGCACCTTGAACCTGATAGGTTTGTGCGTATTTAGCCGGTAGGTGCGTACTTTGGACTAATTTGTTATGAAACATAAGAGCTCAATAGTGATTGGCTCATACGTCTGAACAAAGACGTTTAGGGTCTAGGGTACACAAAATAAAAGCGACGTAGCCGCCCCTGCTAGAACAATTGATTCATCATCAAATCATTTCCAAATCGCATTATTGAAATGTTGAAGAACACGAATGAGAAACGTCTCAATGAGTCTTAGCGATGCAAAATAGTAGCAAAGCTGAGCAAAACAAATGCTACTCGTAAAAGGGTTATAGCGGGCCAATACGATGTCAGTGCAGATGCTATTAGAAAGGTGTGGGAGAAAAAAAAACGGCATCAAGTTTTAAAAAGATATGCTTTATTGTTGGAAGAAGCTAAAAAGAATATGTGTCTATCTTCACTTGGTCGTTTCACTGAGGTTGAATACATGTGTTATATCCGGATTGACATCATGCGTTTTGCCAATCTTACTGTTCAACCGTCTCTTCCCATCGCCAAGGCAAAAAACATTGAAGTCAGTTTCTCGATACAAGAAATCGACTTCAAGGCGTCAAGGCAATTGCTAGCAGCTTTGGACGAGCTCTATGCAACTATTGCCCATTATGAATCTGAAAACGTTTACAATATGGACGAAACATGACTTTTTTGCTGTCTTTTGCCAAGGTACAACCTTCTATTGCCAGATGAAGACATTTCGACCACTAGAGGAAAGAAAAAATCCAAAGATCGGGTTTTTCTTATTGTGTGTGCCAACGCAGTTGGAACTCACAAAATTCCATGCGCTTTGATTGGCAAATCAAAAGAACCAGCTTGTATCAAGGACCGTAAGTGGCCTCTTTCTTATTTCAATCAATAGAAAGCTTGGATGGATAAGGAAACATGTTGGAAGTGGTTCAACAAAATATTTCTTCCAAAATTGAAAAAACAAACTGGATGCGGGTTCTTTTGTTGACGGACAATGCGTCGGGGCACTTGGAGTCTTTTGAACGCGACAACGTTAGAATTGACTTCTTTCCCCCAAATTGTACCAGCTGAAAACAACCTTGCAATATGGCCATAATTGCAACATTGAAGAAGCGATTTAAATATCTTTCTTTCAAGGACGTTCTTGACTTTTTTCAATTGGATGATGAAGCAAAAATTTGCAAGAAAGAGCAGGGGCAAATGTTACAACGGGGTGCAGCTGGAGCTGGTTACGGAAATCCAGCTCACCTTCTTGATGCTGCAAATTATGTCAAGTAAGCATGACAATCTGTGTCACACATGTACATCAAGAACGCATTTATCAAGACGGACATCATGCCATTAGAAACTGATGGAGAAGCGAAAAATGAAAACAAGGAGTTAGTGACTGAAGTTGTCCAAGCTCTTTATGCTCTAAATTTTTCCCTTGTGCAAGACGAGCTTGAAAAATTTGTTCATATCGATGATGAAAACAGTGAAAAATTTGCAGTTGCAGTTTTTGAAGATGTTGGCAAGCTTTTGCTAACAATGAAGGTTTTCGAAGAGAATCAAAAGTATGTCACCGAGGATGAGAATATAACATCGCAACTGACAGATGGAAAATTAGGAAACAACTTTGTGTTCAAAGGATTCGAATCACTTTATGAGCAAGTTGTTGACATAGAAGATAAATTGATCTGCTCGAAGGTTCAAGCGGAGGCTGAGGAGACATTTGATGATCTTAGAAAGTCGTTTTAATTGTTTCAAAGTAAGGTCCTGGCTCTCAGCTTGAAAGCCAAATGCAAGAAACTTCAAAACTTGAGACAAATGACAATTCATGTCATGATGAACTGAATAAACGTGAACTCTATTTTTTTCAAAAAATATTGCGTACTTTAGCCGGATGCGAACTTAACCGAGAGTTTAATGTACATGAAAATGATAAGTGCTCATGATTGTGCTCTGGTCTGAGTACAAATTTGAAGTAACTCTGCTAGACAATGACATATAGGTTCCAAAAATGTCTTGAGCAAAATATATATATTCTATAACTCCTACAATATCCTAATTATATAGATCAAACCATTTACGAACAACATGAGCATTTGTTAGTAGATCACGCTATATAATATTCTATTATCTACAAAAGCACATATCTTCTCGCATCAACTAAAATGATTGTTTTTTCTCATGAGTTGTGCTGGACACTTGTTTCTAGATAGCAATCAAATAATGCTGCCTAATATGAATTCAAAATAACATAGAGAATTTGATTCACCATGTAATATAGTAAGATTGACATCCATAGAGTCTATTCTACTTTAAAAGTCATATCTATAGACTACATCTAATTTCAATAGTAGGATTATAAATAATCTACAACCTCTTGAACTTGAATAAGGTGGTTATTGCAGCCAGAGTCATCCAAGGAGAGGGATAATCATTTTAGAAAAGACTCGCCAGGTTCATCATAGTTTATCTTTATATCTGAAATCATGGTGTTTTAATCCTTAAATATATTCTTTCAACGACATTATGTATATCTCTCAATATTTATTGATTGCTTGAATTCTATTCACTTGAATTAATCATCCTCATGTGACCATATAGACATCATCTTTCACAAAGCTTTGAATTAATATACTCTGTATTTCAAATAATCAACAAGTCATATACATATATGAAAAATATATCACGCATGTCATAGATTGCACAGAGGATTTATAAAAAAATTTGAATATAAAAAATGAGTTATCAAAAAGCTCTTAGAAAAACATGACTGAATGATTATTGCAATCTTAATTATATGTCCAAAATAAAAAATAGATAATTTGTACAGTTTGGATGATTTCCGCAGTGCCAATTTAATGTTATCATAATTGCACATTCAAATTTTCATACTAATTTTTCTGGATTTACTTTTCAATAAATTTATAATTTTCAAATAAAGAGTCTTTTATATACCAAATGTGATATATGTAGATCAAATTATTTTCTGACTTTCACATGACCTAGAGAGAAAAAAATGTATTTAGAATTGAAATGCTATAGAATATTATATTTTATTCAATATAAATAAAAATAGTAACATATTATAAAAAATTAAACACGTTTCAAGTTTTTTTTAGTTTAAAAAAACGAATTCATAATAGGCATGAATGTATGTGCTTGCTTCTAAAGTTTGATGATTTTTTTTAATTATAATTCTATTTATTTTTGTAATTCATCGCTATATATTATGTTGAAGCAAAAATTCTTGATATACACAAACAGAGAAACAATGCTGACCAAAAAAAAGGTGATTCGCCACTCTTGGATGCGTTACAGAGTGGCGAAACATGTTTCTTCAAATCTTTGCTGAAAAAACTTGCAGAGTGTTCAATGGTGGCTTGCACTTCTATAAATACAGTATACAAGTGATTCTAGGTATAACCTTGAGGAGTATCAAGGTTAGATCTAACTCTAACTCGGATTAGATTAACTAGAGTTTAATCTGCAACTTGAGTTAATACTAACAAAGTTTAGAAAAAAATTAGATATGGTTTTAAACTAATAATCACACTGTAAATATTCAAAAAATTTACTTACAAGAAAATATTTTAAAACTTAGTGTTTTTTTAAATTATTATAAATTAATTCATGATTTGATTTGGCAATAGTTTGCTTAACCTCGGTTAGTCTAGCACTATATAAGAAAGCTCACCAAAGCTATTAGTGGTACAATAAAAAATAATGTATGAGCAAAGTTTCTTTAGTTTCTTTAACACAAGTTAAATGGGAGATTGTTGAGGTTAACTTAGAATAAAGAGTAAACTCATGTTGTAGTTATAAATAGCTAGGAGTGTCGTTGTTGCTGGGATGTAAATTCCAAGGTTCGTGTATTATTAAAACACTTAACACACTTTCTAACCCTGAGTTCTCCTTGGACGTAAGCCTTTGTGGTGAATCACGGTACATTGGTGTCTCAACATTTTGTGTTAGTATTAACTGATCTTTGTGTTATACTCTTGATGGTTCTCGTTTAGTGAGTAATTGATTAAAGTTTATGGTGCACATGCATATTTACCAATTCATGAAAACCATTTATTGAAAGCTTTTACATCTCAAAGGTTTATTTTCATGTATTTATGAAAGTCAAAAAGCATAATCTTGAGTTTTAAAATATAATTTAAAAATTAGAAAGATAATAAAATATAAGAGAAAAATTGTAAGAATAAGAGACTAATGACATGTTTTCACTTAAAGCGTAATTTCATTTTCAAAATAATAACATTTACTAGTTCTGATCATCGAGTTGTTTACATAATTATATATGATTATAATTTTTTTTATTTCTATTCGATACACATTTATTTCTTAAAGACTCAAAATCTGTTAACCTGTTGTATTAGCAGCTTTCACACTCTACATGTGTTTCCATTATCTTTCGTTATTCATCTCTGTTATGAAATTATTCCTTACTTGATGTAGAACGTGTGTTCCGAGGTTTTGCCAAATTAGAGCACCCGCACATAATACCCATCCAGGACAAGTTTATTGTAGTTTTAGTGTGGCGAAGCTTTCTCTCAAGTAAGATGACTATTTAGATCCAAAAGTACCGGATGATTAGAAAACACTGTATCTAAATAATCCACTGTTCATACGATGCGGAGCCAAGTGATTTCCCGCAATATAAGAGAGTTGCATTTCGCAGAGATGTGACTTCGGTAGTGTGCGATTGTCATTTGAGCCAAAGAAATTCGATGTAGTCATAAATAATCTTGTAGGACTACATGTGTAGCATTCTATAATTTTCATGACAGAGTATGACGATCGCTCCATATCGCTGAAATGGACTGTTGTGGGCCATCTTTTTGTTATGGATCGTTTAAGCAACTAACTATTTGGAAGAAGTGTACAGCATTAAATGAGTACAATTTAGCCGAAATTTTTCGTTTGTTGGTGGGGCATTTAGTGACTTCTTAAAAATATGTTAACGTGAAATCCAGTTTATCTTCAAGGTGAAAGAGTCATAGAATGTCAAAGGTTTGATACTCCTCGCTATTGAACAAAAACATACTGTTCGAACTCAGAATGCGAGTTTCATGAACATGGCATCCAACATGTTTCAGGACCTGCCCAATCCATCACAAGTTTCCATTACGATGCACTGCGTTAATTTCCCCTGGAAGTGCAAACGACGAACGACACACTAGCTGGACGCTGTTGGAACAAACTGTTTGATCGTCACTCGATACACTGCCTTTCCTCACTATTCATGCCGTTAGGATATAATGTTCGATCGTCACTGAATACTCTGTAGACAAAAATTCAACTACCACTATCCGTCCACGGCCATTCTGAGGACGAATATTACATGGTTTTCATCATATACATCATAATATTCCTGAGTCGAATGGGCACCTCACGTATTCCAAACTCAGTGCCATCCACGAGTTACGGTCTTCCGAGTGGAATCGGTCTCTTTGAACTTCCGCCAAATCCAACTTCTAAGGCAATTTCAATAAATCATCGTTTCAGAAAATTCCGTACAACTTCCTAGAAAATGTAAATCACTATAACCATTCAGGAGTACAGAGGACTCTCCAGCGTTGCTCGTGTATCAACAAGAGGCATAAGAAAACTGTCATTTGGTCCCTGGTCGGACTAATACTCTCTCTTCATGAATCTAACTTTGTAGGACACTCGCAGTTATGTGCTGGCAGTAAATAGTTTTACAGTGAGAGAAGTCTGCGCAGAGAGTGGAACAAAAAAGCTTCGAACGTGCTCCTTGTCACAAGGAAAGACGTTGTACAGAGGACTTGTAGGCTTCCTTGAAGGGTAATCTCCATGGCCCGAATCTAACCTGAAAGACAGAAAGAAGCATAAACAAATTCTGAAACGTTTACAGCTCCACATCAAACTTCTAAAAATCGTACAGGACATTTGAAACTCTTAACTCGAGATGATTCAGCTTGCCTTCTTCACATCTGACATCAAACGAGATCAACTGGAAGGGCTTAACATGCAAGGAGAAAGGATCGCAAAAACCCAGCAGGTACGGTCATAGAGGTTTCTATGTATGGTGTGGCCCGGTGCACTGAGATTGCTAGGCAACTAGATAGACAGGTCCAAGACATAGAAACAAGACATGGCAGAGGATGATGACAAGATTCAATCTGAATAAGTAGGCGAAGATCTAAGGCAGGTGTGCGTAAAGTATTTAAAAGTAGAGGGAATGAGTGAGTTGCAGAGACGGGAAACAGGCAGCAACAAACCGTGGATAAAATGCACGAGCGAAAATAAATAATGGACAAGCATGGTTAGGAAAAAAATGAGTACCAACGCAGTCACACGAATGTGCGGTTTGGTCCTCCAATCCAACGCGAGAAAGAGAACCCCGAACCACCAACAGCTTAGAACTATATTTTCAGAACTGAGTAAAGAAAGACTGAAAGAATGACAGCCCATACCGGTTAACATGATGACAATAATCTCTGAGAATGGTAGTTCAAGTACACAAGACCAGAAAGTGCCAAGGATACTTTAGCGTCAACATTCACAGGGCGGCGAATGGTGGAGGATTACCAGAGCTGTTGCACCTTGCCGTATAGTTCTCCTATTTCGAATGTTTGTGAGATGACTGCCGAAGTTTCAGTCCTGTGCTTTGGTTCTACTTGGCGTCCCTTACTTGACTGGCGAGATAGCTCAAGATAAACCCATCAATATCACCGTCAAGTACAGCTGTAGGGTTACCCACCTCGTGACCGGTCCGCAAATCCTTCACCATCTGATATGGCTGAGCATTTCAAGAGACTTTAAATGTCAGTTCTTTTGTTGGAAGCTTCCATGGACGGGTGGTAGATTTCAACAGCTCGCTACTACTCTCTGAGAACCGAGTAAATTCTTCTGAATAGAGTTTCCAATATATTCGTCCCTAATCAGCTAATTAATCTACCAAAGTGAAATATCAGCTGAACCATTCCCTAGGTCTTGAAAGTTTCGCTAGTAACCTGCAGGACATAAGAACGTATTTGGTTTCCCCATGTGATATCTCCCAACGTCTCCGTGTGCTGAGCAGAGGCCTGCGCTCGTCGCGCTGTTTCCATTTGGTAAAGGCGTGATTGCAGAACTCCTAAAGCAGTCGCTTTGTTACGATGCTGTGATCTGCAAAGAATTGCGAAGGAAACATACGGGCCATATGAGAAAACTAGGAGTTCCGTTCCTCGTGGTAATCACAATCTTAATCTGAAATTCAAAATTGAAAGAAATTACAGACATAAGTGGGGGTGAACACCGGATGTCATAGCAATGGCTCACCTGTCAGCTTGACACTGAACGACAATGCCAGTTGGAATATGCACGATACGTACAGCGCTCTCTGTCTTGTTAACATGCTGACCACCGGCACCACCAGCTCGATACCTCTCAATACGTAGATCAGATTCATCAATGTCAATTTTGATGGCCGACTCATCCAGCACTGGCATTACTGCCACGGCTGCAAATGAAGTGTGTCTTCTCTTGCCGGCATCAAATGGAGAAATGCGTACCAATCTGTGCACGCCAGCTTCACTCTTGGCATACCCGTAACCAAACTGGCCATCAAGGCGGATTGTGGCCCTCTGAAACAGTCACTGCCACTTCGTTAAAAGTAGTACCAGCTTGAATCATGGAATTCGCATTCCAAAATTTGTGTTCATCTCTCTGACCATGAAAACGATATAGAAGTAGACATTTGTACAGAAAGCCCACACTCAATCTATACAGAATTCTCGTGAACCAATGAGGCGCCATGAAAATATTAAACGAAGAGAAAGCAAAAGCATAAGCAGAATATACCGTCTATAGGCGGTATCGTGAAGCCACAATGAAGACCTAGCATAATTACACACTAACCAGAGACACGATTCCACAGGACTGCCCAAAAGCTATCAGCTTTTGGGCAGTCTACGTTTTCAGGAGACTTGAAAAGATTTCACGAGATAGTTACTCTAGGCACATGTGCCTAAACTATCTGTTAAGACGGTTACCTTGATTCCCGCTTCCTCACCAAACATCTCCTCAATCGTAGAAACTTCATAACCCCTCCGAAGTCCCCACATTCTATACATACGAATGAGCATGGAGGCCCAATCCATGCTTTCCACACCTCCAGCTCCTGCCTGCACCTGCTCTACCAGACACTAGAGTAAGGATGGGAGCATTCATATTGTAAGGCGTATGCAGACTGATATCGTGACATCATGATATAGTAACCAGCCGTGTCAATCCCCGAAACTTTTCAGGTCAATGGCTCCAACTTTTGCGACAACGACCAATCATTCACTAAGACGTGGTCACATTTTCAGTGTCACTTTTTCATCGACTGAAAGTAATGGTGGTTGTAAGGTGCGGACCTCTAAGAAGCAAGAGCACTCGTCATGCTCTCCAGAAAGCAAAGCCGCAAGCTCCTTTTCTTTCGCCAGTGTCCGCAATGCAGCTAATGCTTCGGTTGCCTCCTAATCACGTAGACAAAAATCAACCGTGGGAGCGTGAGTGCCAACAGGTGCGGATTCGACTACTACAAGCAAAGCATACTTTATTCACTGAAGATGCAGCATTATCGGTTCATGTCCCAACCTCCTCTACCTCATTCCCGCTAAGAACACACAACCTTCTTCCTCCAGGTAGTAGGTCCATACTCTGGGTGGACCTTCAACGAAAATTACACCTTGATTAGTCACGGTTTATGCTACTCACTGCTTCGATTTGAGAGTCCTTCTCTTCTCGGGCCAGCTCAGCCATGCCAATTTGCTCTATGAGTTCTGATTCCATCTCATTCACTGCTTTCAAGCGCCCTGCGAGTGTACCCTTTTCACGGCTGATTTTCGAAGCCTGAACTGGATCACTCCAAAGGTCGGGTTTCTCGAGTTCAACATCAAGCTGCCTCAGTCTAGACAGCAACGTGTTCCACTGAAGATCTTGATAGAAGCCACGCAAAACGGTTTAGATTTCCCGCAATAAGATCAAATCTTCAGCCCACCAATAACTCTGGAACAAAAGCATGACGAGGTGCTGCTTTGAATCGGACGATCGGCATAAAAGAAATTGCTACCGGGCGTTAGAGTAGAGGGGATGCATATATACGAGCAATAGTGCTGACAAGTGCACAAAACCCTGCGCACAGGTAAGGGTTTAAAGGATATGAAATAACCGGTTACCTGCATCCTTGTTCTGATAAGTTGGATGGACCGGGCAATTGCAGCCGCATGACCGCGCCAGTCACTCTCGGCCTCATCGGAAATGTGCCATCCGCGAGCGACAACGTCGTCCACTCCGAATCCATCAGAATTGTCGTCCCGCTGTGAATGAGACGAGTAAAATCGGATCCCTCGAAAAAGCGGTGCTGCTGGTACCAGGGCACAAAATTGTGTAGAAAATTCTGTGATCCGACGATCAACACAGACCACCGCCGAACAAATGCAACGGTGCCCATCATGATGGAGGCCAGAGCTCGCCGGAGAACGAAGGAGACCGGCACGGCGACTGACTACAAAAGCGTCCTCCGAGAACGCTCGAGCTCGAGCTAGTTCACTGCTCAAAGCGTCGACCCGACTGTTCCCACAAAGATCCCGACCCGCCGCAGAACCAGCAAAAAAAGATCGCCACCAGACTGGCCGGCAACCGAAGCAAAAAGCACCAATTCGAGAAGCGGAGACGAGCCTCCCCACCGAGAGCGGCCCTCTCCGGGTGCTGCTCCTGATCCACGATGTCATTGCACAAACTTCCGTAGCATTGTTAGGGCTCCTCCGGTTCGTGGAAGCCGAAAATAAAACCACAGCAGCAGCAGCTTCACGTTCTAAAAGCACAAATCACCAGCGGCAAAATCCAGATTTTTTCTTCGTCTCCGGCGATTGCAAAACACTGCTGCCCTCGCTCGCTCTCGCCCAGAAACTGCTCCTCCTCCTCCTCGGCCACAAGGAAGCCAAGTGTTGAAAGCTGGCATCCAATTCACGTCGAGGAATTGCGAGTCGAAGAGAATGCACAGAGTGCACAGAATGTGTCGATCACATGAGATGATGGGTCCTTCGGCTTGACTATGGTTAATTATTAACCATAGTCAAGCCTAGGTGGGAACAGGCCGGGCGTTCTACTGACTCAGGATATGATTACCGCGGCCGTTAATCACTATTCTTAAGTGCCTCCGAAGAATATTAATTCTATTGAAAAAGGGCGAGTTTCTGTTATCAGAAGTGTCGCAGCGGGGGGCCCCGAATTCATGTGCAGAAAGGCGACCAACACGTGTGCGTCTACAGAATCTCGACCGTCCATCTCGTCGGGCTACCCGATATGACCCAGTCACGCTGACCTCGAATTCCCATGTGGACATATGCTCGCTGAAGTTACGCCAAACTAAACCACGTGGAAGTAAGTGCCGGCAACAGAGCTGGGATCGGGTTTGGTCGCACCACTGACTGCAGTCGTCAGCCACGGTGCCCACGCTATCGTCCATGTGAGACTGCGAATCCAACCACAGTAGAGCACGAGGGTAGTGACACGAGGTCCGACCCTGTCGATCCGAACAGAACGCCGAGAGCACCAGCCAGTGGATGGGCTGAACCACGGTAGGCACATACCGTGACATGGTTGGTTCCGAGGTGGGGATGGATGGGCCTAACCATGGCTCAAATCGAGATTAAACTCGGACTTAACCGAACCGAAGGGTTAAAGGTCGCGGGGCTTCGGTGTCCCCTGCCTGCTCCGGGCAGCGGAAAGAGGACAGCAGCAGTTAAGCGCGGGCCCGGTCGTGATTAGTTCAAGTGTCGCCAATTGGTTTTAGACTAATTACGTGTTTCGACCATCAGATGATCGCCCGCCTCTGCGGATTAGAAGCCTGATTAGCTCCCGCGTGGGACGAGGCTCTCTCGCAGAGCAGAGACGAGTGGCGAGAGGAGAGCGGAGGGAGAGGAGGCCAAGGGAAGCAAGCGCTCAGCACGGCGAGAGCAATTTGGTCGTGGACACGAGAAACGGACTCGGAGGAGAGAGAGAGAGAGAGAGAGAGAGAGAGGTAAGACACTAGAGGTGTGCAGATGTTGTGAGATCCGCGGTGACGGAGGCTCACATGAATCGGACTATGGAACTGCCTTTTAGCGGAAGTTTTGTTCCGTGCGCGAGTGTAATTCGACACCAAGAGGAGGGCGTTTGTCAGCGCTTCAGGAGATAATAGTGCCATCGGGTGAATCCCTGATCCGCACATCGGAGTCGGGAGCATACGAGGGTGAGTTTTTCTGCTCGGTCGAGAGCTTCGTCGAATGCGGAGGGTTGATTCCGCGTGCGAATAGGAGAGCGTGTAGAGTGGAAGAAGTGCTGGGAGCAGGTCGGGTACCGGGTTCGTCGTTCTTCCGCGAGCCCGCTGGGACGAGTCGTGTGATCGAGAAGACGAGGAGGCCGTGAAGGTTTGTCGTGAGACGGATGGCGAGAGGGAGAGCGGGGAGGTGAAGAGAGCGGAAGGCGAATGAGGAATGGCATTTTGAGGGTCACGGCAGGTTTCGCAGGGTCGGCGTCAGTCTGGTCTGCGGAGGTTCGTAGTCTATTCGTTGAGAGACTTCGGATGTTCTGAAGGAGGCGTGGGTGGGAGAATAGCTTGAAGTCGGGAGATGGGTGGCAGGTTGGTGCTCATGCAATTGTTGGGAGGATGAGTGAAGGTAATAGTCGTGGAAGAGGAGGAGAATTGGTCGATTTGGCAATTGGCAGTGAGTGAGAGGTGGGTTTAGGGTAAAGGCTGGCATATTGGGAATTAATGCGGGGGCGAGAGCAGTAGCAACATGAGTGTGCGTATGCTGTCTCGGCCCCCGTCGACAAACGCCAATTCGTCGAATGCGGGAATTCCAGTGTCTCTGGCTCCCCCTGCATCCATCCTCAATTCCACGGCCTCGTCCCCTCCTTCGTTCGCTCCTTCCTCGTCCTCTGGCTCCCCGCCTTCTCCCTCTCCTTTCTCGTTTCCCGCTCCACCAGACTTATCCTTCCAGCAGCAGCGCTCCTCTCTGTCCTCACCTCCTCCATCGCCCGCAGGCGGCTCTTCTGTGCTGAACTTTTCTCCTCCAGTGCAACCGTCTTCATCTTCTGCATCCTTGTCGGTTGCATCTTCTGGCTCCGGAGCAGGCTGCGTCCCTGCGTCGCCTCTTTCTTCTCTTGGGACGAATGGCGTAGTGGTCGTCGGGGTGATTGGCCGGGTCGAGCACGAGGTCTCGCAGTTGCTCGATCGGCTTCTTGATGCTCAGGTCTTTGGTTCAAGACATGGAGGATCCGAGCCATGGTCTGAAGCCGAAGACAGTGTCCACGTACATTCCGGCAACTCGTTTCATCTGGAGAAAGAGCTCGGAAAGGATGGGACTTCGCAAGTACTTTGCAATCGAGCCAGGGATAGAGATCCTCGCGAGGTCGCTAACTCTGATGCAGAAAGCAGAGCGGAAGACAGTTCGGTGACATCCGCCGGGTTTATCGACGAAAAACATGATTTCAAAGCTCGGGGATTTCGAACTGAGCAGTTGTGGAATGGAGACAGTGGCAGGCAGAAAGAGAAACGGGCAGACGAGAAACTCGGCAAGGGTCCGGTCGGAAATGGGAATAATGAAAGGAAGAAGGAAAGCCAGTGTGAGGACAAAGTCGGAAGATTTGATGAGGCCAAGGGTTGTGACGGTCTTCGAGATGCTTGCAAAAGTTCTCCTGGCCTACTGAGCAAGCTCAAACATTATCACGACGAGGAGAAAGGAATGGTTTATGTCCAATTCACTTGGGGATCTCCGCCGCTTGACATGTTCAGGGAAGAGTCCTATACAGCAGCCTTAGCTCCGGACGGTTTATCTGCCACTTTAGAACATCATGAAGCAGACGGCATGCGTGGACTGCTGTTTATGTTTTCTGTAAGGTTTCTACACGATTATCCCGCCTTGCGTTCCGTACCTTGACTTGTTACCCAAGATTACTGGCTATGTTGGTTGAATACCTTGATATCTTCTGACGCAGACCAGCTGATGGGAATGGCAGGCATGGTTGCTTGTTTTGTTTGCTTGCAGTGTTTGGAGGTCAGTTTATGTGCCCGTCACATTCATCAGTGTTTTACCATCTGTCGACTCTGCTGAAGTTTGAATTTAGGCATTGAAGTCCTGGTCGTAAGACTGGAATATAGATTGTCTCCAGATGTTCCAATAAATTCCGGAAGGGCGTGATGAACGCAAAACCTTTTTTTGAGGTTGGCCAAGTGACACTTTCGAGGGTTGTGTGTATGTTTTGCGCTGACTGCTTATGAAGCGAATAGTGGTTCTCAGTCGTAGGATTTGCGGTAGATTTTTCAGTCTCTCAGTTATCAATTTTTGTGGCGTGCATGTGATCGTGGAATTTGCAGGTTTGCCATGTCGTTTTACTTGTCCAAGATGGGGCACATTTCGATCCCCGTTTCCTGCGTATGCTCCGCTTGCTTCAGACAGCTAAGCACTCTCTAGCACCGTTTGTAAAGACTCAGGTGCTTCCAGGCTTGCTGCCGCCGCCGTCGTCCTCCATAACCAGGCCTTCACCGCTGAAACCCATATCTTTGGCGACGACCAACTCTACATCTGGGAGGACAGGGGTAGTGGGGCGCAGCTCTTCCACCATAGCTCTCATGTCCGGTTCAACTCCAGTTTTGTTTCCAGGGCAATGTACACCGGTTGTTCTCTTCGTCTTCCTGGAAGACTTGACGGAGCCATCGATGGGAGGTGTCTCGTGTCCTAGTGGAGCCCGAACCGAGGATATATCAGAGGCATTGATCAGTACTGTTTCTCCGTCAGGATCCCTGTCACAGTCCATGTCTGTGAATTACCTCACGAGGCAGTCCGCCCATACGAAGCCTGCGCCGGTGACAGTAGCGAGGACTAACAACAAATCCGAGGCAGGTTTTCGCAAGAAGCTCCAGTCATCAATGGAAGCTCAGATACGATTTCTCCTGAAGAAGTGCAGGACCGTGGCCGGGTCTGGTGAGTCCGGTCCCTCTGGAGTTGGAGGAGGTCCTGGAATGGGACCCAGGGGTCCTGGTGGTAGTGCCAATTCTTTTCAAGGTGTAGGTGGCGGGGGTGCTCTATTCCTACTGGACCCTTCCAGGGCCGTCGTAATTCTGGACAGGTCCAGCAACCGCGTGACCGATGCTCTGGATGCTGCGACAGACGCCATTGACGCCATGTTACTCGGAAAGGAAGGTGCAGAGGACGCGCTTTGGGAAGTCGGTTTGAGTGCTGGGGTGGGAGGAGAGGATGTACAGGCTGTGAAGGACTTCCTCTGGAGGCAAGCTGATATTTTACGAGGAAAGGGAGGTATTACCAGCAACGCGGCGGGAGGTTCCGCTGGTGTGGGGATGGTAGCTGCTGCTGCAGCAGCAGCTGCTGCGTCTGCTGCTTCTGGGGGCTCAGCTGGATCCAATAAGCCAATCTGCAACCCTCCTGAACTTCCATCAATCACAAGCTGGTTGTCAGCATGTCGAGTGTTGGCCGAAGCTTTATCTGTGAGAGTGACAGAAGACGGTGGAGGGCATGCAGGTCATAAGGCCTCTGGTGGAAATCGGACTGTGATGAAGAAAGGATCGGTGGCGGTGACTCGAATTTCCGCTGGCACAGGAACTGTGGTTAGAAGCAAGGGCACTATCGACTCGACCATCTGCTCTCTAGAAAGCGGTGCCAATATGGACCAGAAGTTCTCGGCTGCTTGGTGCAAACGAGTACTACCATCCGCCCACGAGGTCTACATGAAAGGTCTGCCTCCTTGTTATCCAACCAGCCTCCACAAGTCTCAGCTGGAAAAAGCCCTAGCTGTATTTCGGGCGATGGTCAGGGGACCAGCAGTACCTATCTACGTGGAAACTTTGAAGAGAGATTGTGAAGCCGTCTGGCAGTCTGGAAGGCAGCTTTGTGACGCCGAGAGCCTGACTGGAAAACCTTGTATCCATCAAGTTCATGAAGTTAACGATTCTCTATCTTCGAATAGCAACTTAGCAAGGCGCAAGGGGAGGAATGAGTCTCAAGAAGCGGGAAAATCTGCCTTCGACAAGCGCATTTTCAAGCCCCATTCCAGCGGTGTAATGTTTTTGCATGCATGCGCATGTGGGCGATCTCGAAAGTTGAGGAAGGATCCATTTGACTTTGAAAGTGCGAATGTGAGTTTCTTCAAGTTCCCTAATTGTGAAGATTTGCTTCCATCGCTTGTGATCCCCAGCCCTGAGGGATGCGCGCCTTTCGGAGGGTCTCCTTGGAGTTTGGTATGCCTGGGCAACTCACGTTACTACCAACCGTCTACAGGTTTGGTCCAGGGTGGATTCTGCGCAAAGCAGAACTATTTGTCGACTTGGGTCATTCCGATCGTCTACAGGAAAGCAGAGGCTGACGAAGAGATTCATCCCCCGTCGCCTCCAAAGGAACAAGTAGCCGAGTCGTTGCCCTTCCCCCGAAGCAAAGCAGCTGTCGATGGAAAAATCATGATCAAGGCTTTACTACCGAGGGCCCAACCTATCTTGGAGTCTAAGTCAGCATCTGCCAATCTATACAGTAAAGTTGCTGAGAAGGGGTACTCCGAAAGTAGTCGAACGAACTCTACCCGGGCTGGTGGGGTTCCAGACCTTCCAAGGAGTTTCACAGATATTGCCACAAAGGCGAACTACGGAGGAGAATCTGCATTTCCCCCTTTACCGCAGAAACAGGATAAACTTGCACCTCCTCCAGCCAGAACGAGCAAGCATTCAAACAGTAAGGAGAGGAAAGATACATCACATGTTGTGCGGGAACATCGTGAAGAGAATTGTAAAGCTTTGGTGAATGAAGTTCCGGATAAGCTCAACGACAGACTCGACACCCCCGTCGGTTTTGAAGAACAGACGGTTTCGAATGGCAAAGGGCCCGCCGATCTGAGCTCCAAACTGAGTCCTAATTCTGTCACGGAGCATATTCGAATATATATTGGCTTCGAACATGAGTGTCCTCATGGGCACCGCTTCCTTTTGTCAAATGATCAGGCAGAGAACTCTAGTTCATCTATACCAACAGTTCTACCTGGGACGGGGAAGTCGGAGTATGCAAACGCGGGACGTCCTTCGAGATCGAAAAAGCCAGATCCTAACGAGGTGCCCCTGAAAGAATCCGTGCAACTGACACGGACACTGGATATGCAATCTGTGTCGCTGCAAGAATCAAATGGGAAGTCATCGGGACCAATGTCTCTGTTCAAATCTAATCGGGATCGGAAGGAGATGAAAGTACCAGATGATATGCAGTATTGGAGCGTTCAGGATGGACATGGCGATGGACATTCTCTGCTTAACTCCAATCTACCTATTTATATGAATTGTCCTTATTGCAAGACGTCAGAGGAGGGTACCAAATCAACCACCAAAAGCTTGGTGCTAGGTGGCACCATATCTCAGCTTCAACGCATATTTGTGGTAGGTTACACGTTTACTTATTTTATGACAATCGCGTACTGACCTTCACGTTCTAAATTTCAGTAATATAGGGTAGGCTGTTTCTCGATCAGAATGCAAGTCTTGCACTGTGTAACAATCTAATAGTTGTTGTTTTGGTTCCCAGGTTACACCTTCTCTACCTCTGTTGCTCGCAACATGCCCTCTGGTGGAGTTCGAGGTATGTCCTGATTCATGAGAATCCCCGTCTTTATGTGTGTCCCCTTATTTGGATCTATTTCCGTTGCATCCATACTGCAACTTTCCTCGCGGGTTTGAACTTAAGATACGCTGGATCGAAGACCGAAAAGCTGTTGGGTTATGATTCCTCAAAGATGCCTCTATTGCTTTGAACTGTATGTCTAATGATGCCTAAATGTAATGCCCAAAATATGTCTACAGCTGTAGCGGCCTGTCGTCCATATGCTCTGATCTCCTTAGCGAATGTGTCTTCTCATGAATGGTTGACTTAATGAGATCCATCGACTTGCAGGATGTATCAAAACCAGTGAAGACAGTGATGGAGTTCAATCTCGGGAGCGAAGTTGTGCTGCCACCGGACAGCTTCCTAAGCTTGCGTCTACCTTTCGTGTATTACTCCCAAATGGACGGAGTCCCCATCAAGCCCCTACTCGTTAAACAGCATAAGCCGGAGCAAACAGGTTGGCTTGTGAAGGGCACAGCCTTGTACCTGAAATCAAAGGGAGGCGTGAATGGTCCTTTCGATGGCTAAAATGCCATGGATTCTCAGGCGAGATCCCAATTGCTCGTAAAAGGTACCGACTTCTAGGCTACACTTAGATCAAGGACAACAACCTGTCCGTAATCATGACGACGTGTTCTCAGGGTTGAACAAGCTGGGAGAGGAGTACAAAATCATAAATTCCTCATGAGGAGTTTGTGCAAGCTGAGTAGTTGCAACATCTTTTCAGCAGGTATGTTTGACCGTCTCCAAGTTTCTCCTGTCCGCAAAAGACTCTCAAGTGTGTTTTGGGCAGTTTTGGGCAAGTTATAGCCAGGAGTTCTGTCAAGTTCTAGGATGTTATTGTCCGCATCACAACTGCTCATAGTTGGTGTTCAATTTTCAGGTGATTGAAAGATTGGGAGTTTTGTTGGCCACAGACAAAGCACCGAGGGTATCTTCATCACTAACGAAGGCGAGAAATCCAGGCCGGGTATGCAGCCTCTGGCCATGTAACTCTATATGCTTGCACACATGGCTAGAAGGTTCACGTTCAGGAATAGAATCATCTTTGTGTGCCCGAGCTAGCATCCGATTACATCTACTCAGTAAACCGTCAACCCATTGGCCTTGCACCGATCTGATCAAGGTTGATGATGGCGAGGTGTCGGGCGAAGCACACTTGCTCATTTGCTGCCTGCGTCAAGGAATTGTGGAAATTCGTTGTATCAGTGCTTCATTTCGCACCACCGTTGTCCAAGCTCGTTTTCTTTTTAGGAAGACTTCTTCTGTGTACTGTTAGTCAAACCAAGACTGAGTCTGTGTCCGTGTGGCGGTTTATGTAAACGTCAGATGCGAAAATTTGGCGTGAGAATGGTGCACTCGTCGGACCATGCCAGTCAGTAAAGTCAGTTCTAATCAAGTTACCTTGTTTTTTTTCTCAGTTCTTCTGAGTATGATAGGAGACAAACAGCAAAGTCGAACGGAGGTTTAAGCATCTTACCAAATTCTTGACTCGATAGCTTGTAAATCTTCAAAATTGAATGATACTTGATAATTGATACTTTGATTGATTGGTTGAACATTCACGTCTTGCTTTTTTCACTACTTCTTGTCATACAGTTGATGTGAAGCTAGTCAAGCTTTTCTCCTAGGGTACAATTCTCGAAATTCACGTACATGGATGTGAAATTAAGTTCTGGTGTTTTCTTCGCCTTGCGGAATACGATATCCAAGTTACCCTCGTAATGTAGAATGCACGCAATTTAGAGACACGGTCGTTATTTTAGTGAGATGGTGGAATTAAGTTCACGTATTTTCTTCGCTTTGGCGATTACAATATTTATAGTTCCTAAAATTTGTAACAATGTCTCAAGAGGTTCCGCAACGTGTATACAGGTCGCATATGAAAAGCAACGTTTTAAGTTAGATTGCCACATCAGGTTCCGACGTTACTCAGGTATTCATCCGAAGTAGTTGCGTGATCTTGTTACGTATTGTTGATTGAAGGCAGCTAGAACGCCTTCTTCATCCACATTTCCAGCAGCAGCTCGCAACTTTATTGTCAAGAGTGCTATATGATAGAACATCTTGAACGCTTTAAAACATATTGCAGACAAGAGAAGTGAACACAATCCGCAATCTTCTTATTGAAAGTTGGGTGCTTACGTCAGTGTTGAAAGTGAAAGTGAATTGATGTGAATAAAAATACTTACCCTCACTTCATTTGAAACATCGACGTGAACATTGTCTATAATACTGTTAAATAACTTTGGGAATTTCAGATAAAGAATAATTTCTGCAGTTGGAAACTTTTTAGTACTTTGATGATGTGCCTCTGCTCGCATAGCAATTCGTGCGAATTTACATATTCATTCATAGCACACAAGACCCACATAAATTCTTCTTTGTTTACTCAGAATGATGATAGCATCCAATCATCTATTTTCTGAAGTTTTGTCATTGACACATAGATTTATATTCCAGAAGACTTTGCCACCTCGTACAAGGAAAGAGCACTAATCTTTACGAAAACTTTACAGAAAAATGGGATTCACTTGAAATTTTTGTAAACAAGAGAAAATGTAAGACTCACTACGAAGGATCACCCAAAAACTGAGTGATCAAAAGGAGCACTTCTGATCTCACACATGAAAGCTTTTATGATCGCCATGTATTAGATACTGTCGAATCATCAGAGCAGGAAATGCGTGAAAAGCGACTATCTCCGTTTCTGAGTTGGTGTTTCCAACTTTCCAAATTCGGTTGTCTATGGACTTGACGCGTCGTACATATCACCTGGAGTACACACAACACATTTTGAGACTAGTGCAACCGCACACACAACAGTGCATTTGCTCCTGATCAAACCTAGGAGGTAAGAGCAAAATTGAAGATTTTTAACACCATGTTTGCAAGAACCATGAGTTTGGAAAGTTGGAAACCCAGACAGACAAAACCGGAGGTAGTAGCTTTTCATGCATTTCCTACTCTCAATCTAGCCAAACTTCTATACTAGAACGGAAGACATGTCCGAGGCTGAAACTGCCGACATTACCTTTTAAGCTGAATTGTTGTCTTTGCACAATCCGCAATCTTCGCCATGGGCAAAAGAATTCATATCAGTCACTTACACCTTCTTGCCATTCTTCCCGTTACGTAGATTACGAACAGTCATTACTAACTCCTCCCGCTGCGCCTCCACTTCGGCGTATCTTAAGCTCATGGTAGCATATCGCTCCCTTAAATCTTTCACGTCTCCTTCCAGTTTTGATGAATACCCTTTATATCGGACTAGGTTGGTAATGATTTCATCCACGCCTCCGTAATTGTTCAAGGCAGCTGATTCTACGTTTTGTTGCTTTTCAAATGCACTGCCAGTCACAAATCAAACTGTCAGTCAAAATATGATACATAGAACCGTATTGTAGCAAGAGTTAAATTTACGTAACAAAAGGGGGAAAAGGTACCAATTAAATCAAAACTCACCTTCGCAGTTGCTCTTTATACATTGCATTCGTTTCGATCTGCTCGGATAGTTCATTGTCTAGGGCAATAACCTTATCCATGAGATTTCCGAACTTGGCCGTTTCCTTGAATCTGTTGAAACGAGTTTCCAGTTGCTCGTTCTCCTGCAAAAGACAAATTCAGTTCAAATATAATGCTGAAATGTTAATGCTGAAACTTAGCAAATTTACTGGATATTTTTCATTTTTGTTCTAGAGACAATTTGAATTCTTTGCTACGTATTTTGTTAGGTAGGTGTTTTGCGAGTTTTTTACCCATCAATTCTAAAGGTATTATTTATCGAATTTTAGTATTACTATATTATGTTATTCATAACTGAATAAAGTCTCACAATATTTTATCTACTAACGTCCACAGCTTGCAACTACTTTGAACAACAAAAAATTATAATTAAGTCTAAAAAGGCCAAAATGCAAATCCACGGTAGCATACGCAAATTGCTTGCAAAATGCAATGAGAATGGGACATTTCAAGGGAGGGTAAGATGGGGAGGGTGGAGCATGAATGACAACATTTACTGAACACAAGACCTCTTGAAGGCGTTGAACTTCCTTGTGAAGCACTTCTTGAGTACTGAGCTGAGAAACAAGCTCGCGTTCCCGTCGAGCTAGTATTGAATTTTGATTTTGTAGCCTTTGAAGCTGCGATACACATGCAAGTCAGACAATTTTCTCAATGCAAATGTTGGTTAATTCTAGTCGGACATACAATACGATAATTCTCGCTAATGGAAACAACAATTGAAAAATCATAACAAACGAAGCATACCTCCATTTGGAGTTGGTCCATTCCCAAATCAGGGCCACCCTGAATCAACTGGTCATTGGCCATCTGTAGTAATTCAATCTTGTTGTAAAGATCGGACTCCTTGGAGCTGTAGTCCCGTTTCGCAGCATCCAAATCCATCGTCTTCTTTTTTATCAGGCCCTGTTCCCAATAATAAAACCATACACCCGATTAGCTTCCAAGCTCTTGACCGAGTACAGCTGAGATTAAAGTTTTCATGAGAATCGTTAGGACAACTATTTACCTCCAACACGGCGACTTTTCCGCGTAGCTCGTGTAGCTCCTTGGCTTCTCTAGAGGGCGAACTATTCAGCATGCTGTTGGATCTCGAAAGTGATCTCTGAAAGTAACTAGGGTTACCATCATTCCTTGCCGTTGGTGAATCTTGACTCCGCCTTGATGCAGAGAGAGCTTCTAGACGTCCCTTCGTCAACGATACCTCCTCTTGTAGCGTCGACACCTGGTCTTTGAGAAGTTTCTCCCTGTCTTCCCCAGCTTCAATGAGTTTCCTCAGGTCACTCTTTTCGGTATCAGCGTTAAACAGTTCTCTCTCCAATTTTAAAAAGCGCTCATCGAAGTTATGGATTACGAGGTTCAGCGCACTTATTTCTTCTTTGCCAGCGGAGACCTCTAGCTCCAGGTCTTGTATTCGAGATTTGCTAAGAAGCTCATTCTCGAATACTTCCCGGACAGTCTTTTCTAATTCCAATTTTTTTCTGTCTAGTTCAATGATGTCTTCTTCGAGTGATCTTATTTTTGAAAGTTGGGAAGCACTGCGACCAAAGACATCTTTGGTTTCTTCAACCTTGTTTCTTGCTTCCTCTAAACTGTGTACCAATTCTTCCTTCTCCCTTTGAAGGATGGAACACCTGTCCTCCGCCAAAGCTTTACCATCTATTATGGTACGAATTTCGCCTTCCAGCCTCATCATTTCATCTTCCAGGCCGGCAGCTTTCTCCAAGGCAGTACTCCGCTCCTCCTCCGCCCTCGAAGAACTCTCTTCCAGTAGAACGAGTTCTTGCTCACGGGACGCCAAAGCTGCCCTGACATCTGCCAAACTGCGCTCTAATTCCGCATTGGATCGACTCGCCATATCGCCAGAACTTTGGAGGGAGACTGAACGTAAGTTGGCATCCTCCGCTTGTCTGCGGGCCTGTTCAGCCTCATCTCGAGATTCCTTGAGATGCTGTTGGAGAATTTCGTTAGTCAACAGCAACTCTGCGAGTGATCGCTCCGTGTCAACAACATAAGCCTCATTGCGTGCGAGCATACTTCTTTGGTTGTCCTCAGAAGCAGCGAGCTTGCTCTTTAGCTCCACGACCAGGAGTTCTAAGCTTGTTGTGTCAGCAGCAGGCGAGCTGTCTTTGAGCTGAGTATCTGGAACCATTCTTGTAGAGGATATCAAATTCTCACGCAACTCCATATTCTCGTTTGTAAGTTCTTTGACTTCTAATTCGAGGTCCTCTACGTCTTGCGTGAGCCTCTCCACCATTTTTTCGAGTCCTTTAATCCTCACTTCGTAACCATCCTTTGACGATGGCGGGGTATTTCCTGCATTTTTTTCCTGCAGCGAGTGGAACTTCACCTTCCACTCCTGCTCCTGCTGGAGATCCTCCTCAAGCTTGTGCTTGGCAGTCTTGAGGGTTTCTAGTTCTAACCTGGTTTCTTCTAGCGCTTCCTCCACGTCCTTGATAGCAAGAACCAGCTCCAGATTGGAATCTTGTGTCTTCCGCACTTGCGCACTCAGACTGACATTCAAGTCTTTCTGGTATCGCACTTCGTCGGTCAACTCACGGATCGTTTGCTGAGCGTCCTCTACCTTCCATCTGGCGTTGCCTTCTCCAGTCTCTCGTTCTTCAAAGGCCATCTTCGATGATCGCTTCTGCTCGAGCTCCATCTTCAACCTATCCCGTTCTGCGATTAACGTGGTCATCTCCATATCACTCTCAGCTCCATGACGTTTATGGGTATTCAGCAGTTGCTTCATATTTTCAACTTCCATCGTGAGCTTCCGATTCAGTATTTGGGCCGATACAGTCTCCGTCCTCAACTCTTCTATGGTTGTCTCAGCAGCCGCTAAATCCGCTTGCAAGGCCTCCCTTCCTCCCAAGTCGCGTTGTGAGCCAGCTCTGGACCCATTTTCGGATGCTGCACGTGAGCCAAAAGATCTCTGTGTTGCCCAATCTCTGTCATTGTTCGATCGTGTGCTATGTGGCACCGTCGTCCCGGAGGCTGTGCCATTTGCGTGGGAAGATCCTCTACCATATGCTGGAGGAAGAGACGTGCTCGAGTTGTTGGAGTCTTGACTTGTCAACGTTCTACCAGCAGCTCTATCGCGCTCTTTGTCATGTCGACCCGAACTGTTCAGTGAACTTGTTGGAGACGACACATTATCAGAAGAAAACGCGCGACCGTTTCCATTCTGTTTTGGAGTGGAAGGCTCCAAAGGATCGATGCTTAGTCTCGCACCTGATTTATCCTGTTGGTGTCACAAAAAGCTCACATCAGATTCATTTCAAGCTCGAGTTTCAGACCGCTACTATGCCCAAGAAACATTGATGCATCCAGATGAATCCAGATGAATTATGTCGCCTACACAATCAAATCATATACTTCACAAAATTCACCTTCAGCAGTATCGTTTGTAATGTGCATGCAAACTGTTACTACTAAAGTTTCACTCCGTCGACTAACCTTCGAAAAGGAACTCCGCTGTTTGGATGTTGGGGCGCTGTTGTTGGAAGTAGCACTCCCGGTGGTAATATTACCAGATTGGTCTGAATCCTCCATATCGTCCTCATCAGACCCGCTGACATCTTCCCCATCTTCTATCACTAACTCGTTCACCTCCGGCGCTCGGGCTCTTTCAAGCCTAGAAAGATTCAGAAGAAATCAATCAGAACTACGACAGGCATTCTACATCATCATCATATGGAGGGTGACTTTGTTGAAACTGAAAATAACATGCAAATTCAAAAGTCGGAATGGATTACATACCCTCCATCTAAGCGCGGGGTTAAACAAGTAATTGTAACATGTAAAATGCTACCGTAATTACAGTTTTTAAGTGTCAACGATATCTGAGATGGATTATTGGACTGTGTGTATTCGGCAACATTCACAACTGCCTCACCCAAAACACCAGACCGTGATGATCCCTGCCCAGAAAAAGACACAAGAATTGTTAGCTACCAAAGTTGGTTGAAACGGACATTCTTTACGAAATATGATTGCAGACGACCGCGGCAAACTGCTCAGTGCGACCTGTTTTACGGCTGCGGCTCCCTCGCAAAAAGGAACTAGGACGAGAGACTTTACCGTGGATACAATGAACTTGTACGGCTTCTCCTCATACTCGTGGGTCTTCGTATCCTTTAATAGCTTCGTAGTTTCTATGACATTATCGGTCCAATGGCAACTCCCATTCTTACAGGCAGCTCTATTGGTTTTATAGCTGACCCTTCTCGTCTCTAGAGGAATCACGGAAACAACAAGTTTGTCCCATCCGGCGAGTGGAATCTGCAGTGGACGTGATAATTAACACGGAAATCAGCGAATACAGAGTTGCCGACGAAATGTTCATAGCAAACATGCTTAAACGAAATGTTGAATTCAGTAGTGAATGCTCCATCCGAATTACTCGGAAACCATCTCCGAGTTATTTAAATGTGTCCAAGCTCGTAACACTTAATGTTCACAGTCAACATCTTGGCAAATTTGAAGTGATCGTGGGTGATGATCTAAGTGATGAATGAAAATATATACACTTACCCTTGACGCGTGAAAACTGAGCTTGAAATCCACCCGTTCTTTGACCTTTTCCCCACTTCTTTTCAAGGATTTGAACATCTTGGATGTCTAATCCTCATTCAAGTCTGTACTGTTCCCTCCACTGACTGTAATTCAAACGTATGCGTTTGCTTGAAAAGAACCGTGTCAGAAAACTCAGTTCATCTCCTCCCCTAGACTACTGAGAGCTCCAGGTTCCAACTGAACCGATACGTTGCTTGAAATTTCAGATCGGTGTTTTCCTCCCTCTGTCTCGTGGTTGATCACATCTCAACATTTCCTACAAGCTTCCTCTCAGGCACAGAGTAGCTCGCCCCACCTGGAATTCATCTGAGACCTTTCACCACTTCGGTTTCACCCGTCACTTTCGAACTCCCGAACTCCGCTCCCAAAAATCTACCGTCTCTGCCCCATCTCCTTCAACGCGATGATTGAAAAGCGAATATTCAACGCGAAAGTTGAACCTGAACCTATAAGCTAAAACTAAAGCAGAGATGAACGACTGGGTGCGAATCCGGGCTCCCGACTACGAAGAAGAAGAACTGACAAGACTAGAAACAGTGTGGGAAGGACGTCGAGAACCACAGCGGAACTTGCCCAGACCACCACGAAGAACCACCATTCTCAGACCACCACCACCACCACCACCAACACACACCTCCTCGGCCCCCGCGGCTCGCGTTTCCTGCAATGAGAATTCCGGCTCCCCTCCAACCGGAACGTCATAACATCGTCTTCCCGCCCTAAAGACGCCCGCAGCAGCAGCAGCAGCAGCAGAAGACAGTGCAGAGCGCCCTCGACGAGAGGCAATTGCACCACAGCTGCTGCAGCAGCAAGCACACGGAGAAACTGGCCTCCCTCGGGCCCCGGCCCCTTCTAATTCCTCCCTCGCTCGCTCAATTGAGCTCCTCGCCCGTTGCTCCGCACGCTCCCCTGCCGATCCACTCCTCGACGAGATCGATCGCACAACGGCTTCCGCTGCTGCTGCTGCAGCTCCGCTCCCGTCCCCCGCTCCGCGCCTGGCCTCGCGTCCTGCGCACTGGCGCGTTGCCTCTCGGCTGCAGAATGTTCGCTTTCTGTAGCGTAAAAGGACGAGCACTTCTCGGGCCGCTCTTTCCCTCCGACTCGGTCGCTCCGGTCCGAGGCCTGGGGTCGCTCCGGTCGTCCCGGTGCCCACTGACGGCCGTCCACCGCACTCTTCTGTGCCCCCCGCCGTCAGGCTGCTGTGCTGAAGCTGGTGCTGCCCGCGCTTTCTTTCCTCGACGGGAGTCCCGATCGCAAGCCCGGTCAGGGAACTGGGCCGGACGCTCTTCTAGCGGGCGTGTCCTGTTCTTATAACCGACAGCTCTCGGCGGGCACGTCGCACGAGGTCTGTTTTCGTATGTTCGTTCGATTCGGCCCCGTCTTGTTTTGCTTCCACGTTCGTAAGCGTCAGCTAGAACGGGGGGAGACGGTACGGCCGGCATTCATTCTTGTCGTGGTTGTAAATAGAACCAGTTTCGCTTTTGTGGAATCCGAGGGCTCCGGGTTCTGAATAGCCCTGCCCTTGCTTCAAATTTTAGCTGACGTCTCGTCATTCCTTCGTTTGTGTCGCCGCTTTCTTCGAGATATGCTCGTTTCGAGTCTTAAATTAGAATTCTATCGAGGGAATTCGGAAGTCGCCCGAATGAGAGTCACAGCGTTCCTCCCTCCGATACGAGCAACGGAACTCGAACGGTATTCATGAGTCTCATGCAGCTGCACCAGCGAACGTCCAACTGTGACCGGTGTATTGTGCGATTTCGAATTCCGAGTCTGATCATTCTTTGTGTCCACGGGAGGCATCGGTCCCGAACGAACAGAACAGTGCCAACCCACTTCCTTTGACCACGAAACACGATCCTCAATTGTGGCACAGCTACCAACTTGCTCGTGACAAAGAGGACTGACTGACTGTACAGCGACGACGCTAACGAATCGATCGTATGCAATCAGCGACAGATGGTAATTGCAGAAGGCGAAATCCAACCACGTCGGCAGTTGACGACCGCGTGACAGGACCGTCGTCCCAGTGGGAACTGCGTCGGCCTCGGCGTTGCATTGCTTGCAAGAGGAGTCCAAGCCGAGGGCGACCGGATAAGCCGGTGGCAGGCGATGAATGCAGCTATCGAGTGCGTGTGATCCCATAATTGCCCCGTTCGATCATGGAGCCGGGTGACCGCCGTCACCCCGTAGCTCCGGCCCTAGGCGGTCCCGACATTCTGATGTCGTGATGCCGAGCAGTGGCGCAAATGTGCTGCTCGAGAAAAGTCGAAATCTTCGCACGAAGTGCCACGGGCTCGATGGCGATGGCGATGCACGACCTGGGAATCGCTGTAAGGACCGGTATCTGGGTCCGGCCGTGGTCTCCAGACGAGAGACCGGAGTCACAGCTGGAGCCCGGCCAATTGTCACAATATCGCATCTTTTTCTGGATCATACACCGATCGTATACAACTGGAGCTCTCGCCACAATCTAATGCATCCAATCCGACAGCTACTTCGTCCACTCGAGGGAGGGAGGGAGGGAGCGAGGGAGCGAGGGATGGGATCCAACACTTTTTAGCTCGAGTCCAATCTGATTCGTTCGTCGAAATGGGAGGATTCAAAAAATGCTTCATTGACCTGTCGGCAACTGGGGTCTCCTGCCCCTCCATGACCAGCGAGAGCTGCAGGATTTCTTCTCCCGAACGAGCAAAAAGGGATGGCTCGTTTGTCACCCAAGTGCAAGATGGAAATTACATCGCGTTGTAATGTCATCGATCGGGCTTCAAGATCCACTGCCATTGGGGCCTAGCCCCATCTACATAGTTGGTTTTATCCCCGAACGAAGTGATGTGGTCTTCCCATCCTTTTTGCTCGTCTACTCCGTTTGCATATAAAATTAAAGGGGAATAAATATCTGAACACAGTTGCAAAGATCATCTTCTGAATCAAGATATGATCTGTCAGCTTGGACATGATCAGGCAGGCAGGCATCCGAGATCTATACTGTATGTTGCTAGATTGCTCTTTTAGGCTCCTTTCTGAGAGTACATGTGACTTTATGGTGGATTGCCCTGGACCCAAAATTTGGCATTCGAAGCTTTGTCATGAAGTTATTTCCCTACCGAGTCAATTTCACTTTTCACTACTCGCTGGATTCCCTTTCTTTTTTAAGCAAGCTGGCCTCGAACCAGGTTCTTCCTAGATCTCATTCTGTTACTATTTTTCCACGCTTACCAACATCCTGAATGTTGACACTCGGCTCCTCGCTTTTTATCCATATTCATTTATTATGATGGTTACCTCTATTCCAGACATGAACAAACACAAAGCAATGTATTTCCTTTAACCATACGTGCTTAACCCGAGAACGTTCCACAGGAAAGTATCAATGGCTCATCCTCAATAACACCTGAAGTTTGTCTCATCCTGGGCCCCCCCTAAAAAGTTTGTACTTTAGTCATCGACACTGTTTCTTTGAGCAGTGACATTATCAGTGAGATAAGTAAAATATCCAACCACATCACGATCGTGCTTTCTCAAACATGTTGACAAGTGATTTGTCATCCATCGTATTTGTATACATGACAATTGAAGGAAAACGATGGTCTTGAGAAAAAATAGTCAGGCTCTTTTACTCTCCCGTTCTTCTCTCCAATGCTCTTGGTGTGGACCTTGCTCCAAAAACAAGAACCGATGCATAAAAGGATGCATGGGTTTCAACGACCCCCAAAGCGCCGTTGACACTACCGCCATTTGGTTATCTTTGGGTAATAAAGAAGGCCTAAAGATAACCTGTTGGCGGTGGTGTCAATGGTGCTTCTTGGATGGTTGAAACATATGCATCCTCGAAGAGAATCCATTCTCCTCGTGCGTGCTCTACGCTTGAATTCCCTCTATTTTGTGTGTGCTTCGGGTATAGACAGTTTGTGTTTTGCAAGCAAGATCTACTTTTGGTTAATTTTCAAAGTCTTTGTCAATAATGCTTCACAGACTCTCTCGTGTGAGTTTAAACTTCTGATTCAGCGCCGTTGCTTGTTTAGCGGCCAGTATACCTCATCACGAAACACATGGAGTACAATAAATTCTCACACTAAAAGTCCTCGTGGGGATTAAGGGTATCCCGAGTTCAGTCAACATTCACTAGAATGCAATATCAGACACGCACTGCATGTAAATCATTCTCGAGACAACGCGGCAAATCGTCTTTGCCGGTCGAGAGCAAACAAGTGGCGAGATCGAAAATCCACCTTTCCGAATTCTACTCTGCCCCAAATTCCGTATGAGCAAGATCACCGACCCTTCGTCCAACCGTCCATGCCCTCAAGTTGCAAAACGCAAAGAAGCCACAGAAGCATATTCCACGAGATCCTCAAACCCAAAAGCTTCAGTACGAATGTCAAAAATTCACGCATTCTCGAATTTTCCAACACGGACATCAAACCCGGGAGATTTGAACAACGTAGCCCCTCCTCTCCTCTCGTCTCCTCTCCCTACCTCGAGACGATCACATTTCGGCCGGATTGTACGCTGGAAACGGACCTGGAATCCAAGCTGCTGCCTGCGTGTCCATAGAAAAAGCCCGCGCTTAACGCATATACACACGAAGGGCCAGATTCATTCAAAAGATTCAGGGCAGCAACGAGGGACAGCTGAAAGCAACAAGAGTCGAAGAAGCATAAAAGACAACTGGATCACTCTCACGTAATACTCGAAGAAACAGCTCAGCTCAGTTGCCCTCTGCCCTCTCTGCTCTGATCTGCTCTGGGGGTGGAGACGCGGTTTGCGGTGGAAAAACGTGTCGGGAATAAATCGACGCCTGCTGGACGGAAATGATGAGTGCGTCGACGACCAGGCAATGAAGTCGACCTGCGCTCTCATTCGGTCGTCGTTCACGGCCTCGCCGGTCGCCCCGAACTATTTTCTTCCTCGAGTTCCCGGGAAACTGCTGTGCACGGGGCTGCAGTCTTTCACGGCGAGAGGGTGCCTTGGGGCCTTGCTAGCGACGGTCGGAGTCGGGACTAGATACAATGCAAGGGAGGACGGAAGGAAGGAAGGAAGGAAGGAAGGACTCGTAGGAATCGATGAGAAGGAAGGGGCCGGTCGTTGCATTTGACGGTGACTGAGTCCGACAGACTCTGCCAAAGGAGACGGTCGTTTCGTTACGAGTCAGTTCGTTCGATTCCCTCCGATGCGCTGCCTGAGGGACCACCGCGCAGCGTCCCACGGACTCCCACCCGAACCAGACCCCAGGGCATGTCACCGGAGCTGTTGCCCCGTACGGCGGGATCAGCAGGTCGGGGGCACTCGATCGCCGGGATCTGGCTTCACGAGTCACGATCATCGGGCAGATTGACTTTACTCTCTTGCTGTCACCAGTGACAGTACTGTCCCGTCCGGTCTGCCTTCGACTCCGATATCCCGGAGGTGACCGGCACTCTTCGGGAGAAGAACTTTCGGGTCGCCAGGTGCTAAATCGGCAGAATTTTCTTCATTCTGTGAATCCCGTGCATAAACCGACAAAAGTGCCGGTCCGAGTTCCCATGTACAGTGCCGGGAAACGACGGAGGAGCCTGAAAGGATTGCGCGGACTCTCGAGACGATGAATCCCGAATAGACCGGTTAGCACCGGTCACAAAGAATGAATCGTCGCTGAGAAATTCTCTCTATGTCTGCGTGAAATTTTGCTCCTCGTTCGGGGCCCCCTACGAGGCACCTGACAGCTGTAGGCCTGATGATGTATACGGAGATAAATATACAGAGGTCCATGAGTATCATTACGGAGTACAGTGTGGACGTACGACGCTGCACTCTGTCACTCAGTCTCGGATTTGGTTGCAACAGCCAGCCCTTCGCTCGGGTGACATTTAACGGCGGGGAGAGAGAGAACGTAGTTTCGGGAAAAGTTCGCGAAAGGGCTCGCGCCGAGGAACCTCGTGGCCGTAATCGGATAACGGAGGACATGCGGCGCGCCTCGGACTGGTGGAGCTCCAACAAGTCTCGGCGAACGTGTCCGGATGCGGGTACAGACACCGATGATCCATGATGGTACAGGAGGCTCCCAGTCCATCCGACTCGGTCCCTCGTCCGTCCGTCCGTCCGTCCGTCCCTCACGAAAGCGACGACGCCGTATCACGGTCCCTCGGTTTCTCTACTGCGAGAGCCGCTCGTCGTAACCGACCAGAACCATACGGCCGCATGTAGATGGATGGATGGATGAGCTCGGCCCGCTGGGCAGTACGAAGCTGACCCAGCTGCGAGGTTAAGAGAACCCCCGGGGGAGGAGGAAGGATGAGGGACGACGGGAAGAAAATTATTGTACGGCCTGCGAGTAAAGCATCCGTCGACTGTTCCAGCGGCATCGCCCACCTGGCGTGCTTTCTCGACGCACCGGCTTTTGCCAGGTCAGACTCTGTCCCTGCCACGTCAGGAGCAGCAGGGACTCAGTGCCGCAGTGCTGTACTGAACTACATCCCGAGCTGTCACCGCCGGGACGGAGTGATCTCTGTCCTGCAATGCGGACGAGTCGTTCCCCGAATGGGTATTTTGACTTAAGGGTCGTGCCTTGAGCAGCGCACCCAACTCTCCCGTACGGCACAGCTCTGCTCCGGCGGGTTGGGCTCTGCCTCGGGGACTGGATCCGGTCGCTTGCAGCGTCATCGGGCAGGCCGGGCGGAATCTCTGGGCCGGAGTTGATAACCTTCAGGCCTTGTGCTCTGAGGGCTTGACAGACGAGGGCTGGCCAACCGCACAGCCACGACCCGACCGCGTACGCGCTCCGCTCTTCCGCCTCGCCTTCGGATCGACGACCTTCGCAGTGAACGAGCGAACGACCGAAGGTTCGTCGGCCTCAGATGCTGACGAGGCACCACCCAAGGGCCCTCAATTATTTTGTTCTCCTCGACACTGCGCTTCGCGCTCGGAGGGTCTCGCACGGACCGACGCGCCGGGTGGTGACTGCAGGACCTTCGGCTCGTGACGACCAGGTAGCTTTTCGGCCTCGACGGTTGGAAAGTTATGGTCCGGCCGGAACGTAGTAGGAAACAGGAACCGATTAAGCGGTTGAAGGGGTCTCTGAGCTTCTGGTGTGAGCCTGTGACGGAGCCCAGGTCAACAGTACGGAGCCACTGACAGGCCATCGACGGCCGCGAGGGGATGCCGTTCCCCGTCCGCACGTACTGTCATCGTGCTCTCTCTCTCTCTCTCTCTCTCTTCCTCTCTCCGTCCGAGCCCGCCGCCAAGTTAGCGGAGAGCGAGCTTCCCATCCGGTCTCCCGGTCACCGCACCGGATGGGCCGAAAAACACAGGGATGGTGTGGGTGGGTCCGCCTCGAAGCTCATTGGCCGGCAGCGGCAGATTGGTGGAAAGATGGTGGAAAGACATACGCAGCCTCTTGCTCCTCGCGGTCTCTTTTCCTGTGCCTTGTGACGGGCTCCTTCGGATGTCGCTCCTGGCCATCCGTATGGTATCATTTATTGCCCAGTGATGACAATATACGGAATGACCAAACTAACATACGGCTCATGTACTGAAAGCACAGTGTGTTGACTTACTCACTCACTCACTCTCTGGCCTACTTACTTACTGCTGTACTGTTAGTATGGACCTCGTTGTCCAAAGTACGTATAAATTTGGCACTGATGATTAGAAAGGGACGCGAATTTGGCTTTTGATAAGGGGCGGACGTTGCAAATGAGGATTAGTGCCGCTTGGATTACCTGAGGCTCGTCGACGTTGGAGTCACGGGCGGAGCGAGTAAGGACGCTGTCGGGATCCGAGGCAACAGGGGCTTTCGGATGCAAGGCGTCTCTTTGCCCTTTACTAACAACTCCTGCAGCTGTGCTTTCATTTTCACCGCAGCTCTGTAGCTGGGCATGGCATTCGGACCGCTTTCCCTTAACCAAGATTTCAAGATTGTGCTGAACGAGGAGCTACTGGAGGTAGCTAGCTTTCGGTTTCAAGAACAGATTCTCCTGGAGTTCTTTCGCACTTGGTCATCACCATCATCATGATGCACACGTGCATGGAGGAATGAATTATGCGCTACTCCTGGAAAGCCTAACACTGCATATTTCATGTTCGAGTCCCCGCTGGTGAGCCAAATCACCGCCTGCTTACGTACATGCTTGAGATCCTAGTATTCGACCCTCCCTCGACATCTAAAGTATGCATTTGACTCCACTCCACTCCATTCCACCGATGTACATGCCGAAATGTTAGTCTTGATCATTGATCATGCCAACTACGCTACATCTTGCGGAATGAGACTCGGGAACACACACAGTTAGTGAAGTCTGTGGTGCGTGCGTGCATTCATGAGTCAGCGGAGAGAGCAATGGAGAATTACAGAAAGAGATAATCGGTACAGCCACATCGTCCGCAGCTGATTGAATCTTTCAGTGTTCGAGACATAATATCATTCAACTCCTGCTGCCAACTAACCGAACGATGTAGGACGTCTCTGCACGAGCTGCAGGGCTGCTAATGACTATAGGTTTACATCCTCCCTGCCATGCAGCCTCTGTCAAGAGCTCCTTGTTCCCATCTGATTATGAGTTGAGCTGTATGGATCTGTGAACATTCTTTATATTATTAACACTTTCCTGCCAGTCTTTAGAACACATAACCATGTCCAGTCCTTCACGAGCTCCAGAGTTTGAGCCAAAAATAATCCCATGAACTGACTTGTCCAGGAAATAAACGAACTCAATTCCACTTTTTTAGCTGCACGTGGTCCCCTAACAACTACAAATGGCAGGATTGCAGCAACTGGAGGAATCAAAGTTGAACAAAGCATCGACTATTCACTCTGTTCTAAGGATTGATCGGATATAAATGCATGCAGAACCTGCAAGAAATATCAGCCAAAAAACTCATCTTTTTTTCAGAAGCCTACATGAGCATACTGGAAGGTGGAAGATGTGATCAGACAAGACAGAACAAGGTCTATAAAGAACTCCCTCGCCTGCAACTGTCACGACAGTCAAGGTAGCCAAAGGGTCCCGACAACCCACTCCCTGGCTGTGGAAGTTGATCACGTCAACAGCGTGTTTCTGGGCTCCCATTACGTAGGATGAATTACGAGTCTGGGAGATTAAACCACCTCAATAGTTGCATACCGTTTCCATTTTTGCTGATTCCCCTCTTGACTCATAGTTAGCGTATTACAGTTCGAACACATCGATTTACCGCATGTTCGTGAATCCAGTCTTCGCATGCGGTCGAGGTTGAGGCTTAGCTGCGCTAAAGACGATCAAAGTGAGATCAGGGACACATCGAGTGGCTTTATTCTTCTGTGTTGTAAGCTCCCGAGTCCCAACAAGGATCTTCGGGGAAACCGAAGTTAAACCTTGTGGGAATACCAAAGCTATCCGGTAAAAACAAGGACCGTTCTAGATCTAGCTCTGCTGCATACAGCATGAAGAAACAGGACTGCTTATCTGATACGTCCTGTTCGGATTGCCATGAGGGGTCATGTCAGATTTACTGTGCAGGGATTCTTCACCAGATGCATCAGATCGTGGTACATGATCCGCTTTCATTGATTGCATAAGGCTTCAACCATGCACGTCTGCTGCCGTCGTAATCATGGCGGACAGCTTTCAGAAGAACTTTCTTCGCAGACAGGCGTCTTTTGCAGGAAGGGTAGGAATCGTAAAAGCATACTGCAGTGCTAGAAAGTCGGTTTTGCAGTAGCTACGCTGAAGTCACAGATGCCGCTACGACCTTTCTCACTTGATGTAAGAACACGCATCTGTAAGCGGAAAAACTGTGGATCTGTTCTGGAGCTAACAGTGGAGAAAGGTGACACCTCGACGAGGGTTTGGCTGCTGACCCTTTGTCAATTGGAAAACCCCTCGCAATTCAGCCTCTGAGTTCCGGGTCTGGAGATGGATGCGCGCTGACATCATTCGCAAGGTGTGAGTGGAGAAGTGAAGAGTCAACTTCGAAAATAAGGAGTAGAGTATTACCGCTGTTGTCGTTGCTGAAGGTTGGTCGCAACATTCGGTGACGAGCCTCGACACCAAGCCAGGGATTCTCCTTATACAATTTGAAGATAAGAACTCGCGGAACAAATAGGATAACGGCGAGAATGGAGCTCTCGGTTCCCGCGATCCTCTGCTCAGATGCTGAACAAGTGCAAGAATCCGACAGGTGTGAACGTGACCATGAATCGACTACCAGTGAGGTGACATGTGCACTTGAAGATTTCAATTTCTCTGAGGTTTAAGAATAACAAGACAGGCTAGAGAGGACTATGCAATCCCCGGTCTGGTGGCCAGTACTGGGGCATCAGACTCGATGAACATTGACGTGATACTTACTTCTTCGTATTCCAATTTCTGCATGCTAAATGCCCAGTAATGCCCTCATAGCCCAGCACTTCGGGTTTGAAATCATCGGGCGGAAACTTTACAAAACGTGAGAAAGCTCTCGGAAGGCAGAAATGCAGCAACAAGTAGCGTAACTTTCGACTTCGGTAAGCATTTCATGCATGCGAGACTGCAGGCAAGCCCAGAGAGTGGAATCTTTCGGATGCACTCAGATTAGTCCAGGACCTGTGTTGTACGATCACAGTGACATCACGGTACTCCAGTTGACACTTAAAATCTGCTCCCACGATGAGTTCTGACTGGAATTTCAGGATTGTTAATTAAAAGACTGGTGCAAATGTTCATAACTTCTGTATCCAACTCGATTGGAGCCGATGACATCTGCTTATCAATGCGAAGGAGTTATGAAGTTGGTCGACATTACAACTTAACTTACATCAAGCATGTTCCTGTGTGCAGTGAATGAGTAGAATGTAATAAACCCTGTGTTTCTGAGACTTTACAACATTGTGGTTCAAAACGAGCGCCTAATTGAACAGATTTTTAAACAAATTTTGAAACGCGTTATTTCTCATTTGTCGGTCATCTTGATATTTCTCCGATGTGGCTCAATCTTACAACAATGCTGCAGACCCTACCGTGAGTATTGTAGTGATGCTTATCGATTTCTAATATGTTCCTGGGATTTTAATCTATAGTCACCCTTTGGATCAAAATTTTAAATTCAATTTGCAAAGCAACGTCCAAATTGCGCCACCATTTGTACAAAGGAGTGTCAAAATTGGACCGACAGTTTCTATTTCAGGTTCTGTTGCATTTGCCGCCTTAAAACTTCATTGTCCTTTCTGAGTTTCAAAACTTTCTGCTTGAAAATATCAGCTTGTCGATTGGCACTAAGCTCCCTCAGCTGATCGTCATGATTTACGCTTGAAACCATCACTGCATAGTCAAACTTTTTTCGTCAGAAACCGCAGGAGTGAAATCTTACAACTGCTTTCTGAATCTAGCAAGGCCTGCTGAAGCTGATACTTTCAACAGCAAAAACTTCTGAAAGTATTTTATTTCACAAGAAGACAGTGTAGCACATGTTCGATGCGCATCTTCCAGCTGGGATTTGAGTTTTTGGTTGTTGACTTCTTCGGCTTTTAGCTTGTTTCTAAGCCCTTCGATCTCCTCCCGATCTGTGACAGAGAACAAAGTTAAAGTTTAGGACAAGGACTTCGCCGCTGGTGTTGGTCCACGAATTGAGAGTAAGACAGTAATACCAGTATTCTGGACCTACGAATGATTTACTCCGGCAGAAACCTACACAAATCGTGCATTCTCTTCTCAGCTTCCTGTAGCTTCATTTCGAGTGTATCTGGAGTTACGGACTGTGCCAGCTGCTGTTCGAGAGCAGTAATTGCACACTCCTTCAAAGTGACATCCTCCCTTAAGACCCTGCACGTCATCTGCATGCTTTAAGATGCGCCGCTTAAATGTGTTCCGTTTTCCGAAGTCAAATGTATTTCATAGTATCATGGATTTAATAACTTCAAGAAAACAGGAATGACAACGTCACGGTAGAGTATCAGCCGTGAATGAACCATGTCACTGAAAGGGAAACTATCTAGAAGAAGTATAGCATTGTTGGTAAAATGTTGAGTTTTGAAACAAGGGTAACCACTTGGTGAGGTCAAGAACCTTTTAATCCACAGCCTTTTACTTCTCATGTAGATAAATCTGGTTTGGGTCCCTCAAACGACAAAGAAAGAAATACAAACATGGACGACAGCCTTGAGTACTTGTATTACATGATTTGCTTATGAAGTTCTCCCACTTTCGCTTCACTTCGTTTTAAAAGATCCGTAATTGTCTTCTGATGCTCCTGGAAGCCAAGTTTTGCAGTGTCGAGAGCTAGGATGTCAATATCCTGGTCCTGAGTCTTAAGATCACGACGGTAATTCTCTGTCAAGTGATTAGGTCTTATCACCGTGAAATAACTACTTACATTCATGTCAAGCCTTCTCTCGGTCTTTAAGTTGTATCTACCCTGCTGTTCTACCCCGTTGACACACTTGATCTTCGTACGTATTGCTATTCTGAGTGCGAAGGCAAAAAACAAAGACCTGATTACATCATCTTATGCATAATTCAAACGTAGAGCATCTGCAATATGAAATCTCAATACCTTATCATTGCGGTCCGAATTCTCTGGTGCACCCTTGAAGAGCTGCAACACATTCTCGTATTTCCTTGCATAATCAAGCTGCTCACGCCAACAATGATAGTTTGAATTACTTCGATGAACGTTACGATCTTCGAATGCGGATGGAGCTATTTATTTCTATGTTTGATAAAAATAAAAAAAAGTACAGGGGACATTCTCCGTCTACCAGCTTTACATTTTGGAACCACTAGTGAGATAGAGATTCGGATCTACTTTCGAAACGTCAGAAAAATGAAGTCAGGTGAAACTGTGACGTACCTGTTCCGATGCTCTCTCGTAGGTTGCCAGTTGAGCTTTCAAAAGCTGTTGCTTTTCTGGCAAGATCATCAGAGTTGATCAACTAGGTTTCAGTTTTCTTTGTCGAAGCCCGGCTCTTGAAGTTCTCTACTTTCGGTTAAGTTCGTTCAACCAACACGCAAATTTGCAAGAAGATTCATTCAAACAAACTTAAACATTTAGTTGGCAGTCCTATGGCAGACAAAAAATGTCAATGCTTCTTGTGAGGACCTCTTAAGCTCTCATCCATGTAACCCAGGGTTGACCAATTTCTTGAAGTGGAAAAGAGTGGAAAAACGACCAAGTCAATCTAGATACGCACTTTGACCTTCTACTATGAACACATATGTTCTTCTTTTGATTTTGGGGTTTCAAACTTTACGCCAAGACATCCCATATAGTGAATGTTTGTGCAGGAAAAAGCCTCCTTTTATCACTGTATTCTTATTGGAAGTTGATTAAACATCAATATTAAATATATATTCGTGTCGAATTAGCTTGATCTCAGCTATTTCAAAGAATCCAAGTTTCGGATTTAGTTTTTCTCTCTAAATCTTCTCATAATCATTGGGTAAATAACATCATTTAGAATTCCAAGACTGCCAGCTATTAATGCAAGTCGTTTCCAAACCTCTTTCTAAATCAATACAGGTTGTCTCGGCTATCTTTCGTTTCTTTTGCTCCACACAAAGCAGTGTCTTGACGGCATGAATCTCGTGCAGACCTTCATCGTATTGCTGACCACAGCAGATCCACGAAGAATACTTCGTGAGTCAGTACTTACCACATCACAGTAATTATTTGAAAGTTTCCCACATTCCAAACTTGGACAATACTTGTATTTCTACAATGCTTCCTCCAATGTATGGATTAAGTCAAATTTTGAAGTTCATGGAACATTTTCGGAAGAGGTTATCTTCTTCAAGAAACCTTTTCCACATAGAATCTTTTTGTCAGAGATTGAAAATTGCATCCATAGGGGCTAATGGCGGCCTTAAGAGACTTGTTGGTTGCTAGCTTATTCCTGTTACATTGAACGACTTATTTGGATCGACCGAGAGTCATATAGTTCAGAAAGCTTCAAAAGTCGTTCAATATAGCAGGCACAAGGGGGGTGTATATAAGTACTAATCTTAAAGTCAATTATATCGATTTCCACTAGTGCACTGAACAGGTAGATGTGTTCACTGATACCTTCTGCAATGCATCTACATCCCCCAAGAGAGCCAATATCTCATTTTCGTTCTGCATTTGTGGAGGGCGAATGGCAACTTGATCGGAGTGTCTCGATGCCGAGCAGTTAGGGCTGAAGGGTGTGGCCGGAGAGGAAGGATCAGTGGCAAAGTATTCGTCCCAAGCAGGGGACATGGCTGAGGTAATCGGATGACAAAATCAGTCGGTTTATTTGACTGATTCTTAACAGCACTGCTATATCCTCTCATAAAAAAGAGAGTAAACACACAACCGGATCATATGCTCCAGGTGTTGGAACAGTACCTCTTACATTCAGTGCAGAGACATCGTGCACATGGGAGAAACAAAACTCACCAAAGCTCCAGCGTGAAAGAGGCAAAATCACTACCCAACGATCAATCGCTTGGCTGTCAGTGCAACGTTTGGGGATGACGACGGTCACAATTAAACAATCGCTTCATGGAATCGAAGCATCGACCATGAGCAAACAAACCTTCACAAATATTAGTCTCGACGAGTCGGACGCTGGGTTAGACTCTTCAGCAACAGAACTCACGACGTGCACTTGCTCACGTCGTGTTCTCATCCACAACTCACCGCTACGGCAAATCAAGAAGCTCACGTTCTCGGACACGCGATATAGAAATTTGAAATCGACCACGGGGGTCGCAAGTGGATGCCTACTTCAGGGACCGACTGGCGCACGCACGTCGAGCACGCCACGATCCCTAACGCTTGCGACCGTTCCCCTTCATTCGAACTCGCGCGCTTCGGGACCGCGCGGTCATAGAAGTCTCATAAGGCGCACGATTTTTAAATCCCCGCAACGTATTTCCTTCTCGGAAATGTCGTTGCCACGCTGCGCTCAAAAAAGGCGAACTCGCTTGGTGGCGCCTTGAACCACCCAATTGTTCAATATCCCTGAACTTGTCGTGATTTGAAGGCTACGCGAGGAAAGAATTCTGACAATTGACCCTAACAATCTGACTGTTATGGTCAATTGAATGCTGGTGGCTGTTTTAGTGTAGTCTCCACGAATTTCGAGCGGAGTGGATGGAGTACTTTGTATCCAAATCTAAAAAAGTCTTGCATTACTTGTATTATGAAGAGATGTTTTTCCGAAACTGACTCTAAAGTAGATTGATTTTTTGATGAACATAGTTTCGAAGGTTAAAACAAAAAAAAATAATGCAGATCATCATACGTGAATGCTGTCCTTGATAAGGATACATTATTCGTGCACAAGAAAGAAGTGGTGATTTACATAGCATCTGTTTAAAAAGTAGTTTCCGGTTTCGCAATCGATTAACAGTGTAATGGTTTAATCTATGAACCATGAAAACAATATTCCTAGCTTTTATTTCTGTGCACATATGGCAAAAACTTTATTATTTATATTAAGGCACATACACTTCAGTCAACATCGATGCCGGATCGAGTGTTTCAATATGTAAACACAACGTTATTTCCGGTATTGCCATTAGTTGTGTTTATTCTTGCTGGAATTTATAAACATACTGATAAAAAAGTCTAGAAAATACTTTTATCAACTCGTATTCCTTCCGAGATGATTTAAGTTACAATTGCGCTGTCTTTGCTGAATGTATTTTCTCGTGATTGAGTTCAAACTCTGATCTATTAGATTTACAAATTATCAACTCCAGATATGTGAAATAAATGTATAAAGCAAATTGACTTGAAAAACATTTCAATTACAGGCTGAATACTTCAGGAAAAAAATTAGTGATTCACAATACTCGGTTTCTCACCTCAAGACATCTCTCCGTTATTCTCACGGTGTCTAGTGACAGTGTCGAGTTCTTCTAGAAGAATGAACTTCTTACCAAAGGGTAAATCTGCAGTGAATCTGATCAGTGATCAGATACGTATTTGTTTCTTCACAACACAGTCTTGGTTCCGGTTGCTACTCTTGCTGTACTTCACTCACTCACCTTTGGCCAGAAAATCAGAAATCAGGCCCATAACTGCACCAGGATCCAAGTGAAAAAGTGGTAAAATGCTTTTTCATTCATTGCATTACTAACATCGCCCCATGTATACCATGAACATCAAAATGTAAATTGAAGCATTTTCAGCCTTTACAGATCCTCTACCTAAACTGGTCACATACCATCTGTGCTTAATAACAGCTATCACTCCTGTCCTCTCTTACAAGCATAATCATAAACTATGACTAAACAAAAGGTCGTCTTATGCACAGCGGTTTCTTCTCACACAAATTTGAATCTGCTGATTCACTCACTCTTAAGAGATAAATCTGTAGAACAACGACAATACCACCACTTCGGAGTTCATCCATGAACAGGAGCGACATAAAAGAAAGAGACACTTGGTAGTCTGGCGTGAGACCTGTGAACGGCAAATTATTTTGGATTGAAATTGAATTTAGATAACTTTAGCTACATTTGACCTACTCAATAACTGATGGATTAGAATGGAATTAGAACGAGCTCTGCCTACTGAGAAACCTCTGCCGCTGGAACTTTTAATATTCCCACTTTGTGAAGGATCCCGGCAACTGTGTCTGATGGCTGAGCACCAACTCCCAACCAGTACCTACATCGTTAAAGAAATACAGGGGTCAGATAGAGCTTCCATTTCAAAAGAATACCGGCACAATCTTGACGTAGTGTCCAAAATCTCCAATAAACTTATCAACTTGACTCCTCCAAAACAAAGATAATGTAGTTCGAAGGCGCTCCCTACCAACACCTACAATTTTGTTTCAATAAGAAGTCGAATCGAACAAAATTTTCCGACAACGTCGACACATTTTGCGACACTGCATTTTTGGAATACACATGAGATCTGTCTACTTACTTGATCCTGTCGGCCTTCACCACAATTCCTAGATCGTTCTCACCTGCGGGCAAGATCGAGACAGAAAGATTAACACAGCAATCCGTCTGTTTTCGGTAGAGAGGGCCATGAAAGTTACGAGAGTTCATATTCTTCGAATTATGCCATTTCAAATACCATGAAATAAACCTCAAGCACAAACCATGAATCGGTTTTCCCATATGTCTATTTCTCGAACATCAGAAGCAACATAAATTGGCACTGCAAGCGTTGAAAGTGTTATTCATCTTCTTAACTTGCTCATCGAGAACATGCTAAACTCAAGGTCTCCAAGTCCGGGTTACATACCGTGCAACGGGTTGTAGTGTCCAAGCAACTCAATGTTCTTCCCGTCACGACGCCAGCTGCTGTGAGTTGCAACAATTCGGAAAAACGGTCTCTTTTTCCTACCCAGCCTTGCGAGCCTCAACCTCACAACTCCTTTGCCAATTTTCTTAGGGCGGGGAATATCCGGCGACGGCGTTACAGCAGGGGTCTCATCTTCGGATGCAGCTGCTGTGACTTTCTTCAATCCTTGTCTTCTCTCAGAAGTCTTTCCGGTAGAGTATATCACTCGCGCCAACTTCAGTGCTGGCGAGGCTGGAATAAACACAAACAACAGGGGAATGAGGTGCAGCACCTTGTCATCACAGGATCTTGCTCTCAAAAGCATTCACACGGACGATAACAAAACATGTACATCCGGTTCAAGTAACCTCAATACAACGAGATCCTCGAACACAATTCATATGACTGGCATCAACGACGAACACATGTCGGGGTTTAAGGTGGCGCCACTGCCATCGAATCGCTTTTAAAACATGTAGTTAACCACAGTTCATTGGAATGGAGAACTGAACAGAATGCCCAACGAGTCTCATCCTTATGCAACAATCTCGCAGACGTTCAAGAATGCTAGCATACTTAACTGATGTCCGACCCGTCTCTTTCGAACCAGATACTCAATTCAAAAACCTCGACACACGGGACAAATTGCGACATGTTCGAAGACGACCACCCTGCGACCTAATGCAAGTGGAGAGTATCGCAGTGGAGTATATCATTGCACTTACCGACACAGGGCATGGACACCGACCGACCAGCGGAGGTGGCTGAAATCTGCACACTGCTGAAAGAGGCCGCAAGGGCACAGCACGAATTTCCCACCGCGACCGCCATGGCTGCCAACTCTAGCAATCGCCTGCGTATCGAGTGTGACTGAATTTGATCGACGCTGATTGCCGGGCACCGAGAGAGAAGGAGCACACTGGCACAACCCCCGGGCTGTTCAGAGTCCAGCAGCCTCCCCTTCCATGGCTCCTCTCCTCCTTCGTGTTTGTGGATAAAGTTACCAGCCTTATCTCTCTCTTCCTATCCTTGTAGTGTTCCGGACTTACCACGTTACTGAGCTGCTCGGCACAGTACCTCTCCTGCGTCACTCGACGTCATCAACCACGTCCATCGTACTCGACCGCTCCCTCAGTGATTCCACGGTTGTTCACGATACAGTACGTTCATCCAGCACTTCAAGTCTGGTTAGACTTGACCTGACCTCTTGTCCATCGTACTCCCTTGCATGGTCAGACGCCGATGCAGTACTACCACAGTTCTGCGGGTACCTCTCTCTCCCTCCTCTCTCCCTCTCCGCACCCAGAAGATTAATGGCAACAAATGAAAAGAATATCAGCAACTCTCTTAATAATAGTCCCTCTTTTGACCTACGCCCCATTAGGCATTATTTTTCAAGAATATATATTTCAAGGGTGAATATATTTGAATAGGTTTAAAAATTACATTTTTTTTAAACAAACATAAAATTCTAGCAGTTTTTTATCTAATTTTAGTCATGTAAAAAATACGATATATTCATAGTATTACATTTTAATTTATAATAAAAATCAATAGAAAATGAAAATAATTTATGTCTATAGTTTTTTCAATGATAATTCGTTTATTTTAAGATAAATCTCAACATTCACAATGACAAACAGTACTCAAAAAAATAAATGTGATATGTTATAGCCCATGAAAGATCTAAATTTGATCATTGTGAGATTAAGCTAGTGTTATTAGTAATCTTAATGACAAAAATCTATATTAATTAGTCATGATCGGTCATGCTTATATTAGTTGGTTGTCTAAATTAGTTTAATTTAGTTGCATCAAAAAAGTTAATTTAGATGATTATGTGCTAAAAACCGCCTTGAATGCACTTCAGAGCGAGTGACAAGAGTGAGGAGTTAGAGAGTAGGAGAGAGTCACCATCAAGCAGGTTTCCAGTCGTGCAGGAGAAAATTCAACTTACAAACTTCAAATTACGATCTCCGTTATGTATGAGACTGACGTGCTAACAAATTGATTACATCACAGCTGAATGGTTGAGATCTTCCAAGCTCCAATTCTAAGTCTATTACAATTTGGATACTCCTCTAAATTTAGTCGTTGGAGTGGACATCAATTTAGGTATTGTAGTCGCCTCTGTACATGGTCGCCTAAAATAACAATGCATGGTCATGCTTGATTCATTAGAGTCAGACAATTTTCTTTTAAAGTTTTAATTTGTCTATAATTAATATATTAAAACCTAATATATTGAAAATAAAATAGAAATATTCTATTATTATCAAAGTCACATATGTGAGAATAATATTTATAATGTTTTATTTTATCTTCATATTTTTTATAATTCATTATATTTAAAATTTCAATACGTGTATTCAATTGTTATAACACTTGATTTAAATTAAAGTTCATCTAAAAATAAAATGATTTGTAAAAGTTCATGGATCATGGTGTTCTTTTCTAAGGTTTTTTTACAATTTGAAATTATTTATCTGATAAAATTCAGAAATAAAATAAAAAATATAAATTAAAAAAAATATTATAAAATGAAAAATCTGTTGAGGCTAATTTCAGTATATGAGTAACATCAATATCTTACTATAAATAACTATGAGGTTGGCTTGGACTAAGTTGAATACTATAGTTTCTCTTTCGTACAAAGAGTCTTTTGGAACAAGATCTGGAATAAAATGTTGCATGTTTTATATAATATTCACCCTTCTCTTGAGGGTGAATCACGTTAATTTTGTGTCTCGTTGGTTGGTTGATTGAGTGTTTTGTCACTATGTTTCTAAGGTTTTATCTTTTACAAAATATAACTTTTGATTTGGTTCAAAGTTTGCATCTTAAAAAGGTTGCTTAAGTACATTCATTGTGGATTTATAGATGTTTGAAGTAATTTTGAATAAATTTAATCAGAAAGTCTACTTAAATGGATTGAACATACAATATGATATCTCAAATATAAAATATATCACATTTTGTAAAATATTCAAATATATACATAGCAAATTGTAAGAACAATGGCTAAATAATAGTATAAACCGCATGATAGAATAACAATATTTGCAGTTTTTCACATTAATCTATCTTGCTATGTTTTAAGATAGATTCGATAATGCATGTAAATGTAATTTGTACAAAAACGGGGATGAAAAATCATCAAGTTCAATCATAAATGATATAGTTTACTACAATTAAATCAATTTTAAATTAATTTGTAAATCATTGGGAATTTGAATGAAAATATAACTCATTCGTTCTTGCTTTAACATATATTAAATTAGAGAGTGAATATTATATCAATGAAAAAAATAATTATATATAATTCTGTTGAAAAATTATAAAAAAAATTAAATGTAAATGAAAAAAATGTAAATTATTTATAGAAATAATTCATTTTATATTGTATTTGAAATAAAAAATATTTTGGATTTTTGATGATGTAGTAATATCTTTTGATAGTATTCTAACATAATCAATTGGACAAAAAATTAAATGATTAACACAATATGATATTGTGACTTATATGATTGCCAAGATATTATATGAACGCATCAAAACTGATGAATAGATTTTTGCTAAGTGAATGACGGACTGTACCATGGATCAAACGAGACCAAGACTTTATCAGTTCTCAATAGGCTTGTCGATACCTACATCACATCCAAAAATCATACCCGAAATCGATTCATGCCCACGAATTCTACGCTTGTGGTATCCATACCAAACCCATATTCAAAGAGACAAAATCGATACCCAACACACATTCAATTCACCTTTGCGATAATACCCAACTTGTATCCAAATAGATGAAATAAATCCAAACATTTTTTATTTAGCTTTCGATTTTTGGTGGAAACGTAACATGTATATATGTGAAAAATTCATCAGTATTCTATTTAGCTTTTGGTTTTTGGTGGAACCTTAACATGTACACTAGATTACAATATCATTGAGCGTAGAAAAATGAAATTGTTGAGCTTGAAAGGGATGCAGCTAGTTGCATTTTTTACTCATTGTGTTTCCAGCGTATGAAAAGTTATTCTTAAATTTTGCGTTAGATGCTGGATTGGAAGTCGTAGAAGTACAGGTAATTAATTTTGATGCATCTTTCACCAAAATAAAGTTCCGTAGTTAGAGAAGATTGTGCTTTCATTGTCGCTACACTTGTGACGAATATAGCTGTTGAATTTTGTCATCAAAGCAAAATCAATCTGCATGTTATTGATGAGAGAATGTTTGTTGATGGCGCTATCACTCTCAATACTATACTCGGCAAGATGACGCGTGACACGCCGATTGTCTTGTTTCTATTTTTTATGAAATCACACACTGTTCTTGCAAATGCCAGAGCCAATCATATGATCTTTCATCATATTTTCTAGAATTTTTTGCCAAGTTCAATATTGGCAGAGTCGATGCCGAACTTGTCAAAACGATATTTGGTTTAAGGATTGAGTATGGCGGCAATGACATGAATGTCACTCCAAACAAAATTTTGACTGATCAATTTGGCAAATTTTGGCTTCAAGGAAATGAATGCGAGAGTCTTTCTTCAATGGAGTTATTGTGTCATCTTTCTTCTTGGTGATGATATTCGACGTAACAATCTCGCAATGTTTTAGAAGATTTTGCCAAAAGTAGAGTACACGGTGTAACGTAGGCTTATCAAACATCTCCTAAGCTATGATGACCTCCTGAAAGTACACTGAAAAAGTGATGAACTTCTTGAGAAGCTTGCAATCAATCTTGATGACCTTGGAAACCAGTCCACGATCTCGTGCACATCAAATCTAGGTCAACTCCCAGAGTGTCTCGTGGACGTTAATCATGCAACAGAGGTCAAAATTGCATCGCGTTGCATTTTGCTGCTTGAAGATTTTTGCAATCTCATCTTGAAGATTCACTTGTTTGACGTTTGTCACAAGAGCTTTGATATGATCAATTGTATCAATCAATTCAAGAGTTAGATCGTAGAACTAATAGAAGGGAGCGGGTTTTTTACCTTTGACCATACGAGTCCTCTTGTCGATAGTCATTGTGATGATGGTACCAATGATGTGATCAAAACACGGTAACTAATCATAGAGATTGGAAATGGCATCGTGAGGATGATACCAATGATGTGATCAAAACACGGTAACTAATCATAGAGATTGGGAATGACATCTATCAAGTGCATATTTAAGCCTCGGTCAGTGACAACTGTGACTTGATCATCGCTATTGATGTCAAATTTCTATAAAACATCATCATATTTTTCCAGTACATCGGATCCGTGATGCGACATAGGTGACAAACTGCATGCAAGCGTGTTGTGATGCTGAGTGAACTCGTCATCGATGAGATGCGTAGTGACCGACAAGAAAGATACCTTGTTCATGTCATTGGTCTAAATATCGGTTGTGTTGCCAATTCGAATTCCTTCCGCAAGATGTGATTCTAAAACGGCTGTCAATAACTCCCTTCTAGCATTGAATCTGATCTGCACATTTGTACTGATTGTGGTTGGATTATGAAGAATATTGTTCACAAGCATGTCCACCTTAGAGTTGACCCCAAAGTTGAGGACGGTCTGCGTACAGTTCCTAAAATTGCTCTCCTTCATAATATGAAATGGACGCATATCAACAGCGCACATGTTCGCCAACGCTACGGTGATGAGTTTCTTCTCAGATGTAGTTGCATCGTGGCGCGTTGTCGTGGTTGTTATCACTTGATTGATCTCTGCATACGAACATGAGTGTTTGGACATGGCGGTGGTTTTGTTGGCTTATCTGTATTGATAAACAGTGAAACATTTGTTGCAACAGAAAAAAGAATTATCACCATAACAAAGATGTTTGCCAATCTCCTTGATTGCAACAAACTAAAACGATGTCTAGATACTCGTCCTAGCTTTATGATTTTTCACTCGATAATAGACACCTTAATCTTTTTGCAGATCCATAGTGATTTTTGTCTTCAAGGTGAGCATATCTTTGGACCTCATATCAATTGTTATCATCAACTATGACAATCGTCGGGAGTGGCGGATGATGAGAACAAGTGCAATCAGCGCTCTGTGTAGTGAGCAAGAAGTTAGGAAATCCTCCACAATCACTATACTAAGTAACCCTTATATCTATTTTTATATCAAACCCTACTCAAAATCATCTTACGAAAAGTTCAATTCGTACCCAAACCAAACCTTTCCTAGCTTGATCCAAACCCATCCATATCCATCGGTTTGGGCGGGTATTGTTCGGATTTGGGGTATGGATACAGGATGCAGGTCTCTATGGGCTTGTAGTTTTCCTCTATGACATGTTTCCTTGACTCTTTTTACTCTGCTGGCAGGCAGTAAGAGTCTCACCATCCTTTGATCCAAGAGGTTTCATGCTCTCATGAATCCTCATTTTCAGCCTCCTTGTTAGAAGTATTACTACCCACTTCTTTGTACTCCTTACACTGTGTTAAGGAACGTTTGTATTTTGTACTATAGTTAGTGGTCGTGACACTTAGTGACGACCACTGTCACGACTAGCCGCTGTCCATTAGGATTTAGGGTCTTGTATCTCTCGGATAACCACTATCACGATTGGGTATATTATCCCCATTCGAGTTCACTCCCTAATAACAACAAAGATCTTCTCTCCATGACTCAATACTCGTGTCTCGACCCTTTCATGCATTGCTTTACTTCCTGATACTCCTTGAAAAGATATTAGTCTCTCGATATCTCCACATGTAATGATGGCAATTCAAGAGATGGTTAATTCTTTATATACATGTATCAATTGGATGGTTAGCCGAATCGTTGAGAACAATGTTTCCAACACCTTCTACTAAGGCTACAATCTAGCATATACTCATATCTTAAAACCTCTCACTCTCAAATTTCTCAAGCTATGTGTTATATCAAAGGATACAACCTCTTCACTTTAATTGATTGTTAGTACACTAAATTCATCATCTAGAATGACACCATGTAATACATGAGATGTGAAACCTGACTCTATAAACAATACTTTATCCCAAGGACTCTAACCGCTTGTGTATATGAAATATGAAGACTATCATCAATGTTTGTTCACTACCGTCTCTTTGTTGGTATCCTACTAATTAGCTGTATTGAATCTATGTATCCCAGCATAGATTAGTGGAGCTTTTGGCCACTTATCCTCCTTTGGGCATATTCGAATTGACGAAGTCATTTGATCATTGCAATGCTCAAGATCATTCTTTTCTTGGCCCATGTAGTATTTCTCAATAATTCAAGATTAGTTTTTTTAGATTATCTTCATTTTTGCTGCAAACTTGCAAACTCAACCAGTAACTAGTTGGTGAGGTTTGTGCTACACTATACGTGCACCCAAATTGGTCTGTGATATAAACAGAATTGCAAAATCCATTCAGCTTGATATCAAGAAAAAATTTCTCCTATTATCTCTATCACATCGTACGTCAATTCTACCTTGAAATAGAGGAGATATGTTTTTCCTCAAGGACAGACGAGATGAAGCATTTCAAGTTCTTTTACTAATCGTAGCGCAGTTTGAAGCATTCCGAGTGATAGAGAAGAACTTTCATGATAATATGTTCACACAACAATATCAACATTGGAAGCCCAAGTTAGTCTGTTCCACATTCAAGATCACTTCGTCATAGGTTAATTATTGAAGTGTTCAAATGATTTTGATGATAATCCGGTTTGTCTCTCCGCCGCCCATTTGCCACTTGCATCTTGGGTCCCGGTAGAGTTTCAGCAGTGAACTCACATTGAAATAAATATATCCTAGTGTGCGCGTTAGGACCAAAAATTGGGCGATTAGCTGTTGGCAGCAGGAATTTCCATGAAAATTTATTGTAAACATTACATGATAAGATGAAGAAAAACATGAACTTAATTTTTGCATGACATATATGTTCTCTATTCAACTAAATACTACACATCTTGGAACAACTTATCACTAAGTCAGTACAAGCCCAATTCACATATCTATCTAATCAATTCAAACGGTTTACTTAAGATTTAAACTTCGTAGTGCCTTATTTTATATTTTTCATGGTCATGAATTAGATCGCTCATAACTAAAATTTGTACCAAACCGAGTCATCAAAAGTGAGGTTTTCAAAGGATAAAAAAAAGAAAGGATATCGGCTGGTCACTTTCAATTTGATATTTGGTTTGGTTTCACTGGGCACAAACGCCACCCAAATTTAAGTAGGTCGAGTTGAAATCTATTCTCCAATATTAATGTTCATAATTTTCATCACTTCTACGAAGGAAAAATCGTTGACATATCAATTCTATATATACAGAAATACATAGATATATATATATATACCTGTATCTATTGCAGTTCAGCCTTTTCTTCGAAGGAAACAATAGTAGCTCATTTTCGTTTGGAAGATGAGCGAAGAATAAACATGGATTGAAAATTCTCTTCTATAAATAATAGAATATATATTATCAATGCATTTATTCTATTATATATAAATATAAGTATGAATATATTTGAATTTCTTTTAGTATGAATTTATTCTATTTAGTTTAAGTAAAAATACATAGATATATCTATATACCTGTATCTATTGCAGATCACCCTTTTCTTCAAAGAAAACAATAGTAGCTCATTTTCGTTTGGAAGATGAGCGAAGAATAAACATGGATTGAAAATTCTCTTCTAGAAATAATAGAATATATTTTAGCAATGCATTTATTCTATTATATATAAATATGAATATATTTTAGCAATGCATTTATTCTATTATATATAAATATGAATATATTTGAATTTCTTTTAGTATGAATTTATTCTATTTAGTTTAAATAAAAATAAAACTGTAAGAAGAATTCCGAAGGTTACGTTGAACACAGTGTCATGCTGAAGCAGTGTCATGCGTGATTACTGAAGCTGAGACTCCAAGTCCAAAGAGCTTCGACACATGGACGATATCACTTGCCAAATCTCACATTTCATGCGACAATATTTTTGGTGACGTGATTTGGTCAAGCATAAACCATAAATCTCCTTCTCAGATATTCATTGATGTCCTTTGGAGAGAGAGAAGTCCACTGTCACTTCGGTTCCTCGGGTTTTGATCTCTGGAATTGAATTGATTTATTAATGTCATAAGAAAGTAAGGAATGGTATGATTTCTATTCCAACTGAATCAGTTGAGACGAATTAAATTATAAAGGTCTCGCAGCTTCGATCGTCGAGAGGTAGAGATATCTCACAGGAATGCTTCGGGCGAGCGTCGTGACCTACAATTGTGGCCAAGAGAGCAATGAATGCCCCAAAGGGACAGACCCAAATGACGGAATTGAATTGAAGCTCGTGTCGTGAAGCAGAGTTTATGGTACGTGTGCTGGTGCATCGGAGAATTTGTTTCTGCTGGCTGGCATTGTTTTGCTCACCTGCATGATTAGAATCGAATGTGGAGCTTGTCAGGCGACGAGAGATTAGGAATCGGGAAGTGTTGGAATGGTCGGTCTGACTGGAGTCCTGTGGCAGCTTGCACCTTGCATTCGCAAGCATTTTGCAGGACCAGGCTTGGCCGGAACCAGAGGCGTGTATGGCGGCATAGAGGGGAACCTGCGTCTCGGGGAGTTGCCTCAGTCTCCGCCGTGGCATTGTCGAGGTTTTCATGGTTTCAATTCCTGGATTGAGAACCGCTCGCTGATATCGTTGCCTCGGAGACAGCTCGGTGTAAAAGTTGGAGGATCGCGTGCTGGGGCCTCTCAATTTTTGAAACCGGAATCTGGTGGAAGGGGATTGTCGAGAAAGGTGCAAGCGCGAGCATCAGGCGAAATGGTGGGAGTGGACGTGAAGGTTCCGAAGGCGAAGAAAGTTCCTCATGTGACTGAGATGTTTGGACATGTTAGGGAGAATAATTATTACTGGCTGCGCGACGATTCCCGGAAAGAACCAGAGATTTTGGAATATTTGAAATCTGAGAATGATTACACAGAAGCTATGACTGCAGGTAAGCTAATTATTTCGAAACTCTTCTTGCATTTCATGCTCGTCAATTGTTGTGCTCACCGAGCCTGTGAAAGGTTCGGAAGTCAAAGCCTCTCTGCCTCAACTTGAGGCCGTCCAAAATCTCCAGTTCTTCAAAGCAAGTCTTCGCGTTATTCAGCTGAGAACCAGAAGTGGTGCTCATAAAGCTACATGTTCGAACTTCACAGAGAGGAGGCTTTTCTAATCAAGCTCCTTGTGCAGACACGAAAGCCTTTCAAGAAGAACTCTATAAAGAGATGCGAGGAAGGATACAAGAGGCGGATACAAGTGTGCCCTTGAGGAAAGGGGCATTTTTCTACTACAAGAGAGATCTAGAAGGAAAACAATATCCACAGCATTGCAGACGTGCGACTCCTGATGGTGAACGCCCTGGATCTGTGGAGGAAGTGATGGAAAGTGGTGACGGAGCCGCAGTGGAGACGGTTCTTCTCGATGAAAACGCTGTAGCAGAAAAGCATTCGTTTTACCTTGTTGGTACTGTGAAGGTACTGGTCTCGAGCTTGCAACAAAGCGGTTATTCACCTTGGGTTTTTGTTCCTGCTGTGGATTTGATTTTTGTTCCCTCAACAACCAACTTCGACAACATTTTGTTCCTTGCACCTGGAAGTTGGATCCATGGTGCAGCGCACTTCCAAGAAGGTCAAACACCCGTATGTGGCAGATTTTTTGTCGTTGAGATTCCACGGATCGTTACGCTCAACATGAGCTTTGCCAACTAAACGAAAGTATATTAGAAGGGGTTTGTTGACCAGAGACTGACCAGGATTTACAAATGAGATGATTCAACTCAGGTCGATTGGGAAAAACAGGACTTTTGTAAAAGAACTCTTCCCTTCTACAAGAAAGATCACACTGCTCTCTCTTGGCCATCCATTTCTCCAGTTGACGTATATGGAAACCTCATCCCCGCTTGGGTGTCAGACTAGAGAAAACTTCTTTCATTTTAAAATTCAGTTCAAATTCTTGGCTACTTTGAGAAATACAGAAATTCTGGGTATACTTGCTCTTAACCAGCTATGACGCTTAGATACCGTTGCTGCGCGAGGATGAAACTTCCTCTGACGATATCTCAAACGGGAGACAGATTTAATCTCGGGAGAGAGTTTTTAGCCTCTTGTGACAGACTCTCAAATGACAGGTAACTCAACTGTGTTGAGTTACCTGTCATTTGAGAGTCTGCTCCTAAAATATTGCCAGGACAGTGGTGAAATGTTCACATTACGATCTACTCTTCCTCGCAGATTGCTTGATTGATGTAAATATAATGCGATAAAATCGTGAGCAGATAAGATTTCGAGGATTGGTTGCTAATTGATGTAGGCTTGCTTGATCTTGCTACTGACCACAGCGTAATTGGTGATATACCTATGTGAACAAGTTCTTCTGATTCTAGATTGAGGATATCATTCTGGAAGTTTCACAGAGAGTGCCCACACCCATGTGAAAATACGTGCTATAAGAAGAATTTGATCGATACCATTGGTGACATATATGTTTGTTTGTACATTATAGTTTTAGAGGGCTTTCTATTTGCTAAAATTGCGAGACCATCTTTCCTTTATAATTCCATGCCATTATCACTCCTGGCTAACTCTCGCAAGGCAAGAGATTTTCGAAATCAGATATATTATGGCACGCTCTAAAAGTTGAGGAGGCAATATGCTTCCCGCTAAGTGTCTGCACTGTCATTTTTGAAAGTTCCCATTCTGATTTTCCATAACAGGTGTGCTTTGGTGCTCATACTAGTTTACTAAGGTCGGTTGACTGAAGATCTTATGTACTTTCGCTGTGTTTCTAGCATCGTTCTAGCGCATACATTTGCTTTCTCAGTAGCACCATTATAATAGACACAGAAGAGTTGTCTTTTCAACTTTTCTCAGTCAACCCGTATATAGTACTACGTCCTACCAATTTCCTATTCGTCCATGATTCACTTACGCATGTTAAGAGTCACTCCGTCACCGTCTAAAGTGCCTGGATTGGGATTGGATGCTTTCGCTTCCTCAGGTCAGCCCGAATCATAAGCTCTTTGCGGTGACAGAAGACTTTACAGGGAACGAAATTTTCACCCTACGTGTAGTTGACATTGAGACGGGCCTAGATGTTGGAACCAAGATTACTGGAGCTACAGATCAAGTTGAGTGGGGCGATGACAATACCCTGTATTATCTAATTCAAGATGAAACACAACGGCCGTACAAGGTGCGTACTATATGAGAAAGTTTCTACCACGAAGAGCTTGTGGAGGTGCCATTCGTTTTCCTCTTTGCGTCTTACACTATCTCCCTAGAACTCTGAATAGCTTTTTGATTAGTCGTAGTAGTAGTAGCGGGTCGCGGGTTCCGCTTTCCTTGTTAAGGTGGGGAAGGTATGTGGTTGCTGTCGCTCACGATACTACCTAAATCTTTATCATCGTAATCTCTTGCTACTCGCCAATGTTACTGCAATAGCATATCGAGTTTTAACCCAAGAACTGTCTTTACAGGTATGGCGACACAATCTGCAATCAGATCAATCCTCAGACACATGCATTTACCACGAGAAAGATGTTGAGCATTGGTTGGACCTTGGCTCCTCTGAGAGTGACAAGTACTTGTTAGTGACGTCAGCGAGCAAAATCACCCAGTTTGTACTTTTCTTAGATAAGAAAAACCCAGATGGGGAGCTTGAATATTTGTCGCCAAGGGTCGATGGAGTTGACATTTCAGTAGCTCATGCAAGAAATCACTTTTTCATAACAAGAAGAAGTGAAGAAACTTACAACTCCGAGCTACTTGTTAGTCCAATAGAGGATCGTTCAGCACCAGTCGTTCTCCTCCCGCATAGGCCAAGGTACATATGCCCTAAGAATTTTGAGCAGAATGCAAGTGTTGAATTCTTGACGTGCTGACCCTTCGAATCTGCGAATACAGCTCTTTTTAATGTCCAGTCATTTGTAGTGTGAAGCTGCAGAGCGTTTCCACGTCAAAGGACCATATTGTCGTGCAGGAGCGTGAGAACGGACTAGTGACTCTAACTGTGTACATGCTTCCTCCAGTTGGGGAGCCCATAACAAGTCTTGGTGAGGGAAGAAAAGTCGAGTTCCCCGAACCTACCTACAGTGTTTGGCAAGCAGCCAGTCAGTATGACTCCTCCGTAATGCGTTACGTCTACAGTTCTCTGACCACACCTCCAACGGTGTACGATTACGATATGAATACAGGGGTGTCAGTATTGAAGAAAGTTCAAGCGGTGAGTTAGTCTCAACACTGGTCCTTTCGTCCTGTTTTGAAGAAATTCCTCTTACTATTGTATTTGAAGGCACACCAATCCTCACTCCTGATAATTAGGTTGGAATGCTCTAAGATTTGCTTACTGCTTCTTCTGAACGTATGCACTGTCGTCATTTTTGCTCTATGCCCTGCCTTTTAGTATCGGGTAGAAGGAAAACCTAGGTCAAAATCTAACTAGAGTTACCAGCTTCCACCATGTGAGAGAGTCTCTTCCTCTCAAAGTTTCCTCTTTTCCTCCCTCTGTCCCCAGCAGCGTCAAGCTAGGGCGTCAGTTATAACTTCACAAGGTGTGATTCAACATAAAGTGCATGCACTTTGTTCAGTACAGTCCATGTGCAGTTATACTTTCTTAGGGGATAATATAGGGATGCTGGTTCGGCGTCATCTTGTTTTCTTTATGGACTAAATGCATCTGGAGCTTCATGTTCTACCTTCAGTCAGTTTGTCTAGACTTTGCAAACAAATCATGAGCAAGAATTGAGTGGAGTGTGGCAATTTTCAGAATATTTATCGTCTATGTCACGGGAGCCTAGGGTCTTCCCATCGTTCTTTTATATCCATGTGGCCCCCTTTTCATGTCAAGGATGTCCAGCGAAAGCAGCTTTTGAATTCACAAGGTTGAAAAATTCCTTTAATTTGTGACCCGCCACCTATAATCAAGCTCAAACATGTATGAGCTAAAAGTACGTCAAGTTGTTAATTATGATGTTATGTTTCTGTACAGGTTCTAGGTGGCTTTGATTCCACCAAGTATGTAACCAACCGGGAGTGGGCAACAGCAGATGATGGAACTCAAATTCCCATTTCCTTGGTGTACAGAAAAGACTTGGTAAAACTTGATGGAAGTGACCCGTTGTTGTTGTATGGCTACGGGTCCTACGAGGTGCTCTACTCAACACTCAAGCATTTCCGAAACGGCCTCTTCTTAGTTGTCGAACTATGCGGCAATTTAGAAATCAACACAATTTTCATTCCTTCTATTGTTTTTCTAACATCTTAACAATGTGGAAACTGTTTGGCAGATATGTATCGATCCTGATTTCCAGTCGAAAAGACTTTCTCTGCTTGACAGAGGTTTGGTCTTTGCTATAGCTCATGTTCGAGGTGGGGGCGAAATGGGCCGAAAATGGTATGAGAGTGGAAAACTTTTGTGCAAGAAAAACACGTTTACAGATTTCATATCATGTGCGGAATTTCTTATAGAGAAAAAGTACGGTTGCAAAGACAAGATTTGCATAAACGGAAGGAGCGCAGGTGGGCTTCTTGTGGGTGCCGTTATGACAATGAGACCTGAATTATTTACAGTTGCTGTTGCGGAGGTGCCCTTTGTTGACGTAGTTACCACCATGTTGGATGAGTCTATTCCATTGACGACTTCAGAGTGGGAGGTGCGCTTACACATGATATATGCTTTCATGTACTTAGTTCCCGTTGCTCTTTTGTTGTTAAATTTTGTTCTTTACGAGATGTAGATAGTCTGCTATTCAACATTTCATCAGAACCATGATCTCATCTTGTTTAGGGCTGCTCTGAGTCTTAATCCTGCATCCTTTTGAGTCTTATGGCTGCGAAGTTGATCACTGACTTAGCTTTACAATTGTTCTTCAGGAATGGGGTAACCCCAAGAAAGAAGAGTACTACCGCTATATGGTGTCTTATTCCCCTGTAGACAACGTACTTTCTTCCATCCTTTACCTGGAATTTTCCTTTTTTTTATCATCGATTTGTGGTCATAGAGTCCGCTGTCGTACGTCGCATGGCAGCTTTTTTGAAAAGAAAAGTTTGAAGCTCTTTTGACGCTTTGTGTCATGTATAAGTGAATGCCCATTCGTTGTTTGTTATCTTCCTTTTTGTCTACATGTGCAAATTCTGGATGTAGGTTGTCAGCGAAATGTGCTTGACGCTCTCTTCCATTTGATCTGAAGGTTACGTCTCGGAACTATCCACACACTTTGATTACAGGAGGTCTTCACGGTAGGTCTCAACTTTACCTTCTTCATTTGCATTTGAGTCAGATTTGACTGCCCTTGCGATATTGCAAATAGCATCACTGAACGAGTTTGAATTAGAGTAACGCTGGAAAAATTTTTCTCATAAACCCGAGTCTCAACTGAATTGCAAATGGTTATTTATTTAGATTCTCGAGTAGCCTATTGGGAACCTGCTAAGTTCACAGCAGAACTGCGAGAAAAGAAAACAGACAACAACGTTCTTCTTTTCAAGTGTGACATGGGTGCAGGCCATTTTTCCAAGTCCGGAAGGTAAGCTTTACAATCCGCTCGTTCTAAAAATTCTACTTTTTTCTTTTTTCCTTTTCAAAAGTTTCTTTCAAATGTCAGTGTTCTCAACTTCTGTAGAAGGCCAGTATTTCCTCTCGGCTGCCAGTTTCATGTATTGTTCTGAACTATTTGCCCTAAGTAAACAATTTTGGTGATCTCAGATTTGACAAACTTGGAGAGGGGGCATTCGTGTTTACGTACATCCTCAAGTATTTGGGGTTGCTTCCAGTGAAGTAATTATGTTGTTTGAAACAAAGTATCCAAGTCTGTCGAATTAGATCGTCCCGTCTGCTTACTCTGTTGAGGCTTTGGCCGGATTCAAGCACTTTCATAGAGCTTCTTGGTATTCATGAGAGGATCCAGCAATAAGAAGTCGCTACAGATTTTGTGAGAGGCTACATTGTGGAAGGACTCACATGAGCAGCCTTGAAGACCTTTGAGTCCATCTACTATCGAGTTCGTGCTTCCATTTAAAACTTCACAATACTCTGTTTCACATGCATACCTCAGGTACATATCAGTTCTCGCTGTTTGAATCGATCTTCAAGAACGTTCTTGGAAATTTCAAAGAGTCGCCTTCTTCTTTGAGTGCCTGGCTGAATCGATCTTCAAGAACGTTCTTGGAAATTTCAAAGAGTCGCCTTCTTCTTTGAGTGCCTGGCTTTCTTTTTGCTACTCCATGGAACGCCTATCTAGCCATGCCGCAGCACTGAGGAGGCAGCCCTGTATAATTGTGGCGTAGCCTTTAATTAACCGTGAATTGCCAAGATATTGAACTTATATTGCGAGTATTGAACTTGACACTTCAATACCCGCCGCAACCAACACTTCAGTTTTGCCTTCATGCCGGTCCAACCAAGAATGTCTTGTAGCTATTGTACGGAAGTCGTTCAGTTGTGAGGATGGCTGCAGTAGGAGAAAGTGCTCCTAGCTTCATTCTGGACATCACGTGATTGTGCCACCCAGATTTGACATGATAACATCTAACATCGACATTAACTCCCATGTCCATCCGTGTTTCCTTCCTGCAAATTACCATGTAAAGTATCACAGACTCCGAGTGCTGCCCATATGATTTTTTATTTCTTATTTGCACTTCTTCACTAGTTCATCCAACATGTGTTTGGCGTGATCTCTAAATGACAGATATTGCTACGTACTTTTCAAAACTAAAATAACAATTATAAAAGTTTTATTTGATTCACTATCACACAACACGTATGTATCCAACCATACTCGCGTGCATTGTAGCTGGGAAATGGTTGTGATTCTAGAAGTGGTCTAATCTAGTTACTAGGGAGGACCGAAGCATTTGCAGTCGGTTGACAAGTAGAACTGTGACACGGAGTTTTTGGGTATATGTATTCTGACTTAAAGGATTGCATAACTGCAAAATTGGAGGTGGAAATTCTTAACTTCTTCAAAGTATCAAAGAATTTACACGAATTAAACATGGTCGGAAAGTTCCTCTCCATCACTGAACAGTGGTGAGTGTTTTCTTTCGTTGATGGAACTTTTTAGAAATTTGGAAAAACATATCTATGTTTTGACAATGTTCGCTTCACATGTGCAAGCATTGTGTTCACTTGACTAGTTGTAAATTTTTAATTATACATATGTATGTAGTAAATTTTGAAATATACAGTTCAGATGTACTCTAAAATATTCACCTATCATGTGGAATTTTCACCAATATGGTGTGCATTCTCCTGTCTGCTTAATCATAGCAGAATGATGTAGATAGTCGCAGAATATTTTAAATGACCAATAAAATCTTGTCGAACGCGAACAGTAAATTGAGATTTGTGTAGTGCCTTCTGCAGTTTCGAGGTGAATGAGTTTCGATCAAAAAATGGTTAAAATGATGAGTATGAAATATTATCAAAAATTAATTATTATTAAAGATTATTTCATCTGCTTGTAAACTTTAATAGAAATTGACCGAAGCAGTATGTAGAATGTTTTACCAGGTACTCATCCTACCTCGAAACCTGTCAGATTTTGAACATAAACATCCATGGTACCGTGAGCAGTTTAGATAAAAACAAAGTTGACAAGATTACATCCATCCAAATTGGTAAGATGACAGAGTGGCCGACGATTATTGGTAACGTTTCTTTCCTTAGCGCCAACATAGTGGCAGTTTATAATCAAATGGTCAGCTTTGAAGCTGACATAAATATTTCAGACGCATTCATATGCGCCAGAGGCTTATCGAGTGTTACGATCAGAATTTCTACGGTACAAGCAAAATTTTTATCCTAAGAGTCATTTACAAGTTGCTTACTTTTAAGTCTGCCTTAAATGTACTGAACGGTAATCTACAACTACGTAACTGTGGTATTAAAAGCATTGGGCTTCGCTGCAAAAAGAAACCATGGTGTAATACGTCTACGTAATTTTATGGTCGATCCCCTTCTAAGAGTTCTGGAGAACGTTCAAACTACAGTATACAAATGTCAAGCCTTTATCGACCTCCACATACTTAGCCTCGAGTGGTCAACAATTCGCTTACTTTTCTTGCTGTTGATGAGAAATAAGTCCTCAAACTCAGCATCCCAAATTACATGATCGTCACACACGCAGTAGTGTTGTACGTGAAATACAGACTGCATGGAAGACCGCTCCAAGCCCACCTGACGAATGCACGAGATTCACAAAGCCCATGGGCGCATAAGTACAAAAAATAGGCAAGGCCCACCTCACTGTTGTCATTACACTTCGACTACGGTCCCACATGTCATCATAATAATTCTTTACAGAATTTTCACTCGTCTCACTGAAATACTGCAGTCTCCGTACGTACTAGTGGTGAAGGTACAAACGAGAGGACGAACTACTGTCAAACAAGTAGAGTAGAAAGGCTCAAGCAGAACAAGTGTCCAAAACTCACCACACTCAGAACGAAAACTGCGTCCTCCTTTCTTAACATCTCTGCAGTGCGCTGGTACAAAGGACTTGTATTGTCGATAACATGCCTCACAAGCATTCCATGGGTCAAAAACGCTATCTCCGGCCGCACCTGCGTCGTTCCATGATACATCTATCTCAAAATCGTCTCAGTAAATGACCAAAGTCTGAAATCACAATGAAGCTGAAAATGCATCTAGACCTGCAAAACACAATTTGTGAACAAAAGATCTACACTTTAAACACGCGTTATTCAAAATACAACAGCGTGCTAAACAACTATATTGAAGCCCTCAACATCAAAATATGAGGATATAATTTGAAAATCACACTACATGAGACCCAATACTAATGCAGAAAACGTTACCCCGACACATTGACCAAATTCCCCTCGGCCTGTGTCTTCGCTACAGAGTACTATCTTCTACACTCTACCAAAAGACCATTCATCAGACCCAACCGGCAAAATGGCAGGCGTATCTTCGGAATCATACCAGCTTTAAAGACTGCGTTGCTCTGAAGTATGAACCCGTCCTGGTTATGGTGTTGTACTTGTAGGTCAGATCTACCTTAACGTCAACCAACTCACATGGCTGGGGACCAGCGAGTACATACCTAGTCATCAAAACTCTGCAAGCGCGGATAGTAAATGTGTCAAAACTTGCAAACGGCAACAATCATGAAAGATTCTCTTATATACTCAGTAGCAGGCTTTTGTAGTCTAAGGACGTATGCAAAGTCGGTAAAGACTACATATTGATCCCGCGTACTCAAGGACTACGTGAAACACAGGTTCAAGTGATTATATAAGGCAAGTATCTTTCTTCAAAACATCCTCGAACAATTATCTATTCACATTCTACTTTTTGAACCAAGTTCAAACAAACCTACTTGATGGCATTTTCTTTACGCTTCCGCTGTGCAGGAGAGGTTGACACTAGAGCGACTGCGGAGCACCTCACTGGCTGAGCAGGCTGTGACAACCTTGCAAACACTGAATGTAAGGCTGAAGTTAGAAGATCGCCTCCACGTGGCAAAAAAACCTTATAGCAATTAATAAGTACTATGGCTTCTAGCAGAAGATCTTCACGTCCACTAAATCTGGAAATCAAATATGTCATGGATATTCGATAAAATCCAAAAGACTGAGCATAATGTGTTTTCCTCTATAAAACAGCATACTTTAATAGAGATAGGTTACCTGCACCACTGAGAAACACAAAAACAAGTTGAGCCACCAGCGCATTGATATTGGCAACGACGAGCGTGTACGGTGACAGAGGAGCCAACTCAGGCTGAAGGCCTGTAGAAAGTGAAAGGCTGAACATAAACACTTGGAATACAGTCCTCCAAGACATCTGAAGTGTTACAGCGTCACCCCCAGCTGCTGCAAAGAAGTCACGTGCAGTTTCATCGAAGGCTAATCCCTGGAACTCCGGAAGGTATAATAGGGTGAACAAAAGACTGACGATGATGGGGGCAGAAAACATAGCCCCGGCAAATTTTGGTAGGGGCTGTTTCAACATGTAGGTGTAGAAGTCATATATTTTTGATAAGACTCCTTGATCCTCTTGTAGAATAACAAAGTTTGCAAGACCTCTGGTGCCTCTGAAAGCAGGATCATCTGAGGTTTTGTAGGACTCAAACTCGTCGTCGCTATCACTCTCGTCATCTTCGTCATTAGAGAATATATCTGCAACCTGCGCTGAGACTTGCTCCACCACTTGATTTGCCGTGCTCGTGACGGATTCTGTGACTGATTCCGCGACTTGTGCAACTTGTTCAGCCGTTGCATTCACCTGATCCACAACAGAGTCACCTGCTTCAGAGACCTGATCCACCATCATCTGGGTAAACTGAAGAACTTGATCTGTAACAAGTGACACTCCATCTGAAACTTGAGTTTGAAGATCAACTACCTGACTCACAACTTGACCTACTTGCTCAGTAACAGCATCAGGCAAGATCTCCACCACTTGCTCTACCACAACAGAGCCAACCTGGGTAGCTTGTCCCACAACTGCTGCAGGCAGTTCTACAACTTTGCTTGCAACTTGTGCAGGCAAGCGAACCACTTGGCTTGCAACCTGAGCAGGCAGCTCCCCCACTTTGCTGACGACATGCACGGCTTGCTCCACAACAGCACTGGGCAATGATACTGCTTCCGTCGATAGAAAATTCTCTCCTTCATTTGCAAGCGAAAGTACTGCAGCTCCTATCTGCGTTGTCATGAAGTTCATGTCAAGAGACTCATCGTTCGAAGACTGGAGACTGTTTGTTGAATATAATATTTCACCAACGGAATTCATTGTATGACCATCACCGGACTGGACAATATATCCGACCTGGACATTGCCGTCAGTAATTTTTTTCTCGGCGTGGATATCGTTCTCGCCTACTCCTTCAGCTCTGTTTGCTAGAAGCTCAGCTTCGTTTCCGAAATGTTCCCTCACGCTTTCAGTTTCCCCGAGTTTAACAGTAATAAAGGACTCCTCAGAGAAAACTTCCTTCATGGACATGGAGCCGCTTCTTGGAGATCGTTCGACAGGCAGTTCAAGACTTGCACTTGGACTGGTCATACACTCCTCAATTCCACTATCAGTCCCAAGCACATCTTTGGAGATGTCATTTCGCTCTCTTCCTTCACATGCTGTATCTGCTTTCACAACGGCCTCAGTTTCAATTGCGGTTCCAGTAGAGATAATTCCAGCGGCGTTGTCCTGTAAATGGACATTATCCTCCTTCTCACTACAATTGGTCTCATTCAGCGATATCCTAAGAGCGATAGAAGGCTGTTCGCCTTCATCGTCAACGACTGTTACTTGTCCTTTATCCGTAGGCAATTCAGCAGCCTGGAAAAAACTCAGGCCCGACTTTTTCTTTGACTTCCTTGGTTGCTTTTTGCTCTTTTCACTCACATCCGAGTTCGACGACACAGAGGTGTCTTTCTCATCCGCAAGTACATTCTCCGTGAGCTGAACTGAAGGATTAGCTTGGTCACTTCCTGGACTAAAAGCTGGAGTCAGCTTCTGTTCCACCTTCAAAAGCTCCGGGAATAATTCAGGATTCGTAACAACGGTTGCCGCAACAGGTTCCACCTCTTCCAACATAGCAGAAGACTCGCTGATGCCATTTTCAACTTTACCCTTCTTAGCTTTCTTTCCTCGAGAGCTTCTGTTACTCTCATCTTTTTGCCTGTCTCCATTTCCAGGTCCATCACTATCACTTTCCTGGGCACCTCGTCCATTTCCCACTAAGAGCCCACTAACCACTACCCTGTCATCTTGGACTTCCGTACTCACATCGACGGGGTCAACTCGCTGATAACCCAGGTCTCCTTCGGTTCCAATAGAAACCCAGGTGCTGCCACCTTCAACCCTCTTACACGCATGTGTTTGATATCCCCTCTCTACATCGTTCTGATTCATTCGAAGCTCGCTTAAATACCGCTGATGAGAGTCGGTCAAATCTGGTGTGGGCTCACCATCATCGTGTACCACACCATCCATGCCAGGATCGAAGTTACCGTCCAACTTATCATCCAAACCGCGCGCCTCCTGTCCAGTGGAGAAAAATCAATTCTTGGCGAGTAAGGTGGCGATATATTGTTCACGAGTACGAATTCGCTTAAGGGCAAGGCACGAGTACGAGGCATGTACGAAACTTCAACGCATGCATGATCTGCTCCTCTTTATAAATTAATCCTCAAATGATGGAATTAATTTGATACGGATAGTGAATGCAAGGGCAGTTGTGTTTACAACTGCGGTGTAACGTTATAGAAACTTCTGTCAATATCGAATTCCCAGCTTCAAAGATACATCTTGCAAATAAAATCATCTGGTGAGCACACTGTAAAAATCGTGATTCGCGAGATTCAATTTGGTGAAAAAGTTAAAACAGAAGTTAAATAAATTCATTCGATGAGTGGAAATGAGGCCTTTGGTGTATATTATTACCCTTTCGTTCTCATCGGCGCTGGAGTTTCCGTCGAAATCATCGGGCCGCAATGTCGGTCTTCTCCTGCGTGCCCTACGAGTGTTGCTTCCATGAACGGCACCAGAATATCTACCGATTCCTGCCTGAGCAACTACAAGTTTACGTAGTTTTGAATTCCCTTTATCTTTCCCTCCACCGGTGAGTCTCAGACCAACGGCCGGTCTAGAGCTGCCTATTTCAGCTCGAGTTGGAACCACAACAGAGTATCTGCTGTAACCGGTGATCGTCGGGGAAAGTATAAATAATAAAGACAACGAACTCATTCTGACTTGTTGACAATAATATGGAGCTAATCAGTATCTACAGAGCTCCAGGTGGGGCTTGAGAAGTAGGTAATCTAAGAGTCTAATAGCTAAATGCAACGGGATTCTAAACCAAGGTGATTATTGTACATAAGATATGTGAAACGCACAGAACTGGGTGGAATCCACAAAACGTAATGCCTTAAAATATTCCACCCTGTCTAAAATCGACCGTAAGGCTGCTAGATGCGAATGCTGTCCTGTGTCAAAGACACTGAAGGGTCAAAAGACAGAACCCAAATCGTTGAGCTGAAAGCACGCGCAGGTTCATGAAACGGTAAAAAAATTACTTCGCCCCGAAGACTATCTGCCAACGGCTGCTTTCGTATGCTGCGGGATGGAGAACAAACAAGCGATGATAACGAATGTCAGCTACGCAAATAGCAGAAGGACGGAATCACATCAAGTCCACAGAGAAAGTCGGGAAAAAAAACCACGAGAAAATGGGTGTGCGTTCGCCTTGTACGGACCAGCTCGAGCAACCCGTCGTCGTACCGAGGTCCTTGCGTTCGCAGCAAAGTCCCCATAAACGTCGGGCAGGAAAATTTCGACTCCCCATCATCTGATCATCGAGCGAAGCGCTCGGTAGGAATACCTTCGATCGATCGAAGCGAAGCGACCCGCTGGTTGCTCCTCGTTCGTCAGTACTTAGTCAGTCAGTCAGTCTGCCAATAAATTAATCAATCGATCGATCAAGAAATCAAGAAAAGGCCAAGAAGACGAAAGCGAGTGAGGGCCGCGCCAACCGCAGCCCAACAGCAGCGGCAGCAGCGGCGGACGTTCGAGAGCGCCCGATGGCACCGGCTAGCGCACCGTTCTTCTTCTTCACCGTCAGACAGACAGTCAGTCAGACATCGCCCACCGCTGGAATCGCGCTCCGCGCTTTAACAGCGCATCGCGGCCTGCCGAGCGCGGGCGCTCCTCCTGCCACGCGTCGCCTCCTCCGCTGCGCTCGTTCCTTCCTTGCGCAACATTTCCATACGCTCCACGTACTTTCTCTTTGCCGCAAAGCCGACCAACTATTCCCGGCGCCCGCCGTCCGATGCTCCTCCCGCTCTTCGATGGCCGTCGATTCGTCCGCTCCAGTCTTCTTCTGAGCAGGACTCTTGTGCCACGCTGTGCCTTCCTCCGTCGAATGGAATATCGGCCCAGTGCAGTCCAGGCGGTCAACTAAACTCGCGTCCCTGGTTAGTGTTCACTCCGGTGAGCCAATTCTGTCGTGCGACCTCCTGGAATTATTTTGTTCCAACCCTTGGCTCACGGACCAATTAATCGGAGGTTAACAATCAAAGGATGTGCAAGCATTCTGGACCTAATATCATACATTAAGCTCCAAATTGCTTGCTTGATCTTAAAATGAGCATTGTAATTTCATGTAGGCAACAAGGTTCCAACACAGTCAACTTGCGACTCAAGAGGAAAAAATAGTCATGGAGTGCTTTAATGCGTCACTAATTGGTCCCTTTGTGTATTATCAAACCAACGAATAACTACGCAAATGCATCGCCAGACGTGCGGAATATCATGATTTGATCAATCTTAAAATATTATATATTAAACATATATCAATATGTCATGAACCTTGCTCTCGAAATTGAAAGTGACATGTTATATTTGCGCTTTTCTTAGAGTACGTGTTGATATCAATGGAAAGGGTAAAGGATCTTTCCTTCGATAACCTAAAGTCCTCTCGAAAAAGGGGTTGACTCCAACATGTGGCGACTTTGTTGACCACAGGACAGTACTGCAGTTCAGGGTGCCAATCAAAGAATCACCGGAGAATGCTCGTGAACGGGTTCCGCCTAATAGGACGGCCGGTAGTCCAGTGAAAAGAAAATATCGGCGCCATAGACCGCTAGACATTGCCACGTGCAGATGTGTGGCAGAGGGTTATGCTTGGCCACCGGGTATCACCGGTATGGAGCCCGTGGTCCGACCGGCTAAATCGGGCATAGACTGGATTTAGATTCAACGCTGTCCAACATGGAAGAATTGGAGGCTTTTGCTTTACCACGTAGCCTTGGTGGGCCCTCTGGAGAACCCTCCGACGATCATTGACGGTCTAAGTTTGATCCGAAGTTCCAGATGTTGTTATACCGTTGATTCTGCTTCTCATCTGACAAACTGCACAGGAGATTTGGAGGCCTGCAGTGAGGAATCAACAAAACCTGACATGCATTGACACGTGCTACCATATTAGAGCACACGAGGATATGGTACAGTGTGTTCGCAGCCGGATGTTATGTGATAAAGTTAAACATTAAATTTCAGTGCAGATTACTTACGAATTATCAAAACTTTGTGAAATCATATAGCAGACAATTTATGGACTGGGGTGGGTGTAGTTTCGTACGAACTAACCAGCCGATCAGATGGGCGCAAGTAATATAGCAAAAGGAGGGGAAGAATCGTCGAGGTCATTAAAAAACCAAATCTAGATAAATTTAATATTTCCCGCTTAAATATTTTGGCAGATAATTTTCTCGTGAAAATATGGTAATAGACAAAGAAATAAATAAAATAGTGAATTATCTACAACGTTCAAGAATGAACATTTACGAATATAGTATATGGTAAATTATTTTACATTTACTAGTGTCAATTGAATATTTTTAACAAAGAAATATTCTTCTTAATAAAGTGCACTTCAAATTAAGTAAGAGAATATTCCAATGGACTAGTATTATATGCTTTGATTCACGAATGTACTGAAGTTGAAATTTTAATTTTGATATAACTCCGATATCTGAATAACAAAAAGTATATTTGTCACTTTACTCGAAATTCTACTGTAGCTCATTTGGAAAGAGTTACAATCACTTCCTCTAGATTTCTTTCAGTTTTTATATCAAAATCTTAGATCATTAAACAGTATTCCGATTGATCTTTATCAAATGATATATTTATTCCAATCACAATGATGTCGAAGTTAACCAAAGTAACTTTAGGTTCTAGCTATTTATAGCTAAGTTGATTTCTAGTGTTGGTTATATATATGTATGCAACGTTTTGTTTAGTATTTTGAACACACTATTTGTATATTCTCACACGTGACCTTCCTTTAGTGGACATGGCCCTTCAAAAGTGTGAACCATGTTACATCTTGTGTCGATTGTTTATTGTAACTTGCGTGTTTTGCATTAACATGTGGATCACAAAGCATACCAACGTTATGTTGATGTGAAGTTTACCTCCTTATCCAGCATAGCAAACACCACATTTTCATGACATCATGACATTTTCAGAAGCTATAATCTATCCTCAAAATGGCAACAAGTTAGTGATGACATGTTGTATCTGAAGTGAATAAAGAAAATGTAGATTTATGAATCGAAGCAAAGTGGAATGTATGATCATAGGTAAGTTATCTAAGACAAGAAATCTATAATAATCTGAAATCTCTTATTCATGATCGAACCAAAATCTATGATAGTGAAGTTTAGATAAGAAGAAAAATTTAAGTCCTAAGCTATAGAATCTTGCTAGAAGAGCAGGTGATGTAATATGATACTTACCTTGCATCAATTACATAATATAGATTATGCACGCATATAATAATTTTTTTAGATCTCTATTGATTGTGTGCTTGTTTGATTGGACTTTGCATGTTGCTAGTATTCATATTCTTTCGAGTGAAAAATATCACTACTAATGGTGTCAATAAGAATATGAGTTGGTGTTTGCAATAACATATGTATTGGTTTGTCTTGTCGTCAACTAGATTAAATCAATACTTTATTAAGAAGAATCATATTACTATTCTTCTAGAGGATTGATTTATCAAATTTATATCATAATTATCTATCTCTTTGATTGAATGGCGAGGGAGACAAACTCTATTACTTCTTTTAAATATATAATCATCTAAAAAATTAATGCTTTGTTTCTATTTCATTGATATTAGATGAAGCTTTGCAGGTTTTCAAACTTTATGTATATCACATTCTAATTTATTTAACATAATAAGTTTTCATTCATGCTAATGCTATACATGCGATAACAATCATAGTAGATGTAATTTTTATGCTCATATTGATCAAATATTTCTGACATGGATAAAGTTGAAGTTTAGAATAAATGTTATGCATTTTTCATTGTGTTGATGTTCACATCTATTCTCCGTTTACTCTATGTAAGATTTGATGAGAGGTTGTCATTTTCTTACATCATTTTGTATATATACTTTATAAACTTAATTATTTTAAACTTCTTAATTAAATCACAAGTACTATAAATGTAAAATTAAATGGATGAAAAACTAAGCACAAAATTTCAATTATCTACACAAGAATTTTTTTATCTTAAAAAAAGTCAAGAAGCATGAATTTTATTTAATCATGTTGTATATAAATTATAAATTCTACTTCGTCTTTGCATCTGATCCCAAAAATTCTCAACACAAAGTTCCAACTCCGAATTCATCTTTATTATAGCTAACATCAATACATGTGAAAATTGATTTGAATTTTAGCAAATCCTATCTGCATTCTTATTAGAAATATTATGCCATCAATCCTACTTTTCATGTATGTAATCACTCATTTGATCCATGGTATTTATAGACGTGTTTGATATAAATATATTTATACTTGTGTAGCTTTTTTAAAATCTTGCAACTTATGATGATCGTTGTGGATAGATTTTTTCTCATTTGTATTATTTAATAAAACTTAATATACTTTACCTACATAGAACACATCTCCAGACTTGACCAATTGTCGCAAAATAGTACAATTAGTGCCAATTTTCGAGGAAGTGAACGAACACATCTCCATATTTGATCAAATGTCGTTAAATAGTACGATTAGTGACAATTTTTGAGCGATTTGGATTTTCAAGTTAGAAGGTTTGGTCGTATTCGGATGCAGACAGCCGATTTAAATATATACCCGTGAAATTCATTTTGAGTTTACGATCTCATTTAGTTATGTATGATAGTCAGATAATGTAATTAGCGTGCTTAATTTGAGATTTTAACCCTCGATTTTAAGGTATATCCTCTAAGTAAAAGGTTCTGTTCAAGGCGTGGGAGGTCCAGTAGAGAAGTGTCACACGAAAAATAACGTGGACTGGATTTCTTCGTGACATGCTACCTATTCAGCGAGAAGTGAACAATCATCATAGCCAAGGAGCAGATGATGCATATGTTCACGGCTAACAATAATTGGCTTGTGTTACTTTGAGTGTTATCTCCTTTATATACCTTTGTAATGACAGGTATATAAAACCATGATCAATCTGCTAATTTTTCTTTGGAAAATATTATGTAAGAATCACGCGTATATATGTAAATGATCGTAATCGAAATATCATCTGGTCAATCACACAAAAGTCGTCTACAATAACATGTGGAAATTAAATTATGTGTATCTACCGATACATAAAATTGATTTACATATAAGCTAAATCCAGATTTTTCAAGCTTCAAAACTTTAAGAATATTTTTATCTCTTTAAATAATTAAATATCAATTACATGTGAAAAGTAGCATCTGAGTATTATTTGGATTATGTACGTACTTACCATTTATTTCAATCTAAAAAAATTTAAATGATTTGATTTTTCTAAATTTTTACATATTCTTATTGTTGGCTCAAACATTATCTAAAAGTATGAATTTGTTTTATCACTTCAAAAAATTATAATTCATTATTTTTTCAAAGAGATTCTTACTTAATATCCTGTTCTAAGCTAATTTTTTTGGTGTAATTTGAAAGATAATCTTATTACCGTCTTATTATTATTATTATTATCATGAATTTTGAGAATTTTTATGAGTACTCTTCATGTCAAAATTGAAAATATTTTTATTCCTTAAATATTTAATAATATATCATGATAAAAGTATAAA